ATACCTTCGAGTAAACCTATCCGGGTCTCTAGCATCGCGTACGCTCTGTACCTCCTTAGTACGAAGGAAGGTATGTTACTACGTAGTATAGAATTACTCGGGATTATAGGTACCTACCTTTACTTTCTAAAATACCTTACGGTATTTTCGTCTAACGAACGTCTTAATAGCGGCTTCGGTAGGAGTAATTTACTTACGGAAGATCTTTACGAGGTTTTAAATAATCGCGTTAAGGTCTAGGAATTATATCTTTATATTAACTACCTTAAGAAAACCTATAGAAATAGATGCGAGAATCTAGCTATAGAGAACCTTATGCTACTTACTAGTAGCTATAACCTAAGCCTCGATCGTTATTTATTAGGAAACGAGCTTATTATACGCTACCGTTTATTACTTTCGAGTTCGATCCTTAGGCTTTAGTAGTTAATCTCCTCGGTTTTCGGTTAGGATCGACGCCTACTCGTAGACCGCTTTCTTATAGTTTTCTTTAAGGAGTTCGTTCTCTTAAGTAATATACTCCTTAAGAGTACCTACTACGACTCGAGTAGCGTTAAACTTAGCTCCATCTAGATTAACGTCCTTCTAGATACTAAATTAAGTAGCTATCGATTTAAGCGTAAGGAACTAACGTAGCTACTTATCGTAAGCTCGTAAGTAAACGTTAATAGGAATCGTATCCAGGGAGAATTCGGACGTATTAATCGTTATAACGAAATAAGTAAGCGACTATTTAATGCTAAATACGAGAGTAGAGTACCGGTATAAAAAGTAAGAAGGGAGTATGATCGTAAGATCTAAGAGATAAATAAATATATTACTTACTTACGCTAGAATAACCTAAGTAATAATAGCTCCTTAGAAGTACCCCGGGCTTATAACTATTACGTAGCTAGCGAGAGCTACGTTTAGGTTAATAGGTTACGCGTAAAAGAAGTAATAAAATACGGATAAGAAGGTATATATTAATTAAGTAGAAAAGAAAGAGAGCTACTAGAGAGTATAGAGCAATCTATAGGTATATATAGTAGTGCTCGACTAGCTTAGGTAAGCTAGGTGGTTCCTACTAGGAGTATATGCCTACGTAATAGTATATTTAATTATATCGTTAATACGTCTTCCTTCCTTCCTCTCTTTTTCTTCTTTAGGTATTCTATTTCGAAAACCTCCCCCTTATAATTATTATATTCCTATTAATCTCTAGCTTACCTTTCTTATTATTAATTTAAATTCTTATTTTTACCTTTAATTTATTATCTTTTCTTCTTCTTTCCTTAATTCTTTTATTTATTTTTACGATATCTTTCCCCCGCTCCGCCGGAATTCCCCTTTCTTTCTTCCTCCTTTCCGTTTATAGAAACGTACGTCGCGCCGATATAGCCGACTTAATTAAACTCTTACGGGAGATTTACGGTAGTAAAGATAACTAAAGTAATATAGAAAAATATTAACTTAATACTTTAGATAATTACGATTCGGGGAAGGGTTCGATCGAATTAAAATCCGATATAGCTTAGGCCTTCCGGCTATTCGTTAATCGATCTCGAATTATAAACTAATAGCTATAAGAATAAACGAAGGTAGCCTTAATTAATTCTTTCGTATATTTCGCTCGTTACGACTACCTTACTAACGAAGATATCCGCGCCTTTTATACTATAACTAACTACGACCTTAAAGGCCGAAAGGCGGCTTTCGAAGTAAACCCGTATTAAATGATAGGCTATCGATCGGTAGAATCGTTTAACTTCTTAACCCGTTAATACCTCCTCGATAATCCTACCTTTACTTTAGTTTTTACGATCTATACGAATCTAGTAAATCCCGAACGAATTATTACCGATTCCTTAAAGTTCTTTTAAGCTTATTTCGCCGTAGTATTATACCTTCTTAAACCCCGGAGATTATTTAGCTTTAATATAGTTAGAAACGGCGCCTTCGATCGGGCGGCGTACGCGTTCGGCTAACTATAGCGAGTATAAAAAGACGGTAATCTCGAGCTTAATATAACCTCTTAGTTTACTTATTACGTCGCGTTAATAAACTAATAAAATAGCTTTAGCTACGGTTTTTAAAGCGGTATTCTACCGTATCTTATCTTTAAACGACCGATCGAGGTCGCGCGTTAAGCCTAAGAGAATAAGGGCCTTAACCTTCTTAATATTATAAGAAAATACGCCGAAGTAGTAAAGTAATTTTATAACGTTCGAGTTTTAAAAGGAGGAGTAGGTATCGTTAAACGTCTTCGGTAAGCCGTAGATTACTAGAAGCGAATTAACCTTATTAACGCTATAGTATCCGCTTAAAATACGCCGATCGGCGAGCTCCCTAGCCGTAAATCCTCTATTCGGTTTATCGCATAAGCCGAAGTCCGTCGTTTCTTTATAGTCTTAATACCTAATCCCCTTTACTTCCTCGTATCGGCGGACGTAAACCTCCGTTATAATAACCTCGTTAAGGTTACGACGCGCCTTCTTCCTTCCCCCGGACTAGAAAGAATTAAGGCTTTTTAATCGAAAGAAACCTTTATACCGTATAGGTAAAGAAAAGATACCTAATTAATCCTTAGGACGCGCCCGTTCCCTTACTATCCCTTTAATTAAGAGGGTTAAAACGAAACTAAAAAGAAGGTAGCCGAGATAAAGAAAGAGAACGCCGATCGGGTTAGATCGGTAAAGGTAAACCGGGTTAAGTTAGTTATAAAGTAATAAAGGGGCCTCCTTATAATATTAAACGAGAAGTTAAAAGCGCGACGGTAGTAGTTAAATAATAACCGGTAGAATAGAGTTTCGCGGTAGTTTTTAAGAGAAGATATTAATCGGGATATACCGTATTATCCTTTTTAATTTAATTATCCCTTACGGTATAATTAAACTAAGGAGGCTATAGTAATACGGTAAGACATATCCTCTTAATATATTACGTAATACGTTACGATAGGCCTTATACTTATATAAAGTAACCATAATACCCGTAAGTACGGGATATACCATATTTATTATTTAGATTATTATATAGCTAGATTACTATCTTTATTATTTTTACCTTAATTAAAGATTCGTTTTTATTATTAGATTCGTCGTTTTCCGATTAATATATTTATCTTAATTATAAGCGCTTAAGTTACTTCGTCGTACCGTTATAGCCGAATAAGTAACTTTTACGTTTTACTCCTTTTCTTCCCTTACCTCTTATACCTTCGGGCTAGCGACTATTATATCTCTACGACTAAGGAATATAGCTAAGATACGATAATTACATTAGATTCCTTATCTCTGGATTAATATAGCGACACTAGTTTCATCCGTCTTAGACCATCGTACGTATTATAGTCTTCGATAAAGTATACCTTCGAATAAACCTATCCGGGTCTCTAGCATCGCGTACGCTCTGCTCCTCCTTAATATATATAAATATATATATATATATTTAAAAAGTACGATAATACTATTATTATTTTTAATAATATAGTATGATATAATGTTAATAAAAAGAATTTTTTAAAACTTATTAATATTTATTACAGCTATCTTTAAGATAAGTATTATATAATATATTAGTTTAAATAATAGGCCTTTAGTAAAAATAATAAAAGTAAAAGTTATATTGATAATTATATATTACATCGTAAATGTTAAATTAGAAATATATAAACTTCTATAAAGTAAATATTGATATATATATATATATATATATATATTATTTTTCCATTTCTGAAATTAAATATCAAATTATTTTAATTATATCTCTTTAATTAACTTTATAACATATAATTAAAGTTAATAGCTTTCATTAAAGCATTCATCTTTAATAATATTTTCATCTATAAATAATAAATTATATAAATAATGACTTATATTTAACTATCAATGAAGCAATCTGTTATTTAAATATTAAATTAAGGTTTATTATATCTTTCGAGTTAACTTAGAAATATAAGGTTAAAGTTAATAACTTTTATTATAATAATCTACTTTAATTACGTTTTCCTTTATAAACCTTACATTATATAAATAATAACATATATCTATTTATAAATTGAGTACTTCTTTATATAAATATTAGATAAGTTTTATTATATCTTGCAAATTAATTTATAAATATAAGGTTAAAGTTAGTAACTTTTATTATTATAATCTACTTTAGTTACGCTTTTCTTTATAAGCCTTATTCTATATTAGGAATGATTTATATTTACTTATAAATAAAGCATTCATCTATTTAAATATTAAAAAATTATAATTATATCTTCTTTATTAACGTTCTTATATATTATAAAAGTTAATAACTTTCATTATATAAACTGTTTTTAACTACTTATAATTCTTTAGATATTATATTACGTAATATGTAACTTATATATACTTATAAATTAAACATTCATTTATCTTAATATAAAGGCCGTTTAATTATATCTCTTTAATTGATTTAATAATATATAATTAAAGTCGATGACTTTTATGGTAGGTCAATAAGGTAGCCCCACTTTTACGTTTCGGTCGATTTTCAATTCGCGAAAACCGATTTTCGATTTCCGAAAATCGTTTTGTCGGATACGCACTAATGGTGCACCGTAAGTCTCCTCTCTGGGGCGAGGTTTTTTTTTTTTTTTGTGATGGTCGGCTCAAGAAGGGACTGGCTTAGCCCGCGCTGGTGCTTCTAGTTTCTCGCTTGGATCGCAAACTGGCCAAACGCAGGCCAAGCCGAGTTCATCAATCAATTACCTCACTCGCTAGCCTCCTTAGTTTTAAATGTGGGCAGCTTAGTGGCTGATATCTATGAGGTGAGGCCGTTGCGTGATGGGGATTGTTAGTTTGGCAATGCGATGCGCCGGCATGTTGGTGGTTTGTGCTATGCTTGAGGAGATAGGGTAGATCGGGGACTGCCCATACCTCCGTGCTGGGCCGGTATTGTAGGTAGGTATACAGATAGATTCGGTACCAAGCCTGTCTCAACAAGCAGAGTTTCCGATGATATATTTACTACGTAGCGCCTGGGCGAGGACGGGTTGCATTCTTCAGCATGCCACCGGCCCCGACGAGATCCAATGTGGTGCCCGAAATTGTCTGCGTGGTGATTCTGTTCCTGCATTCGCCTATTATCGGCTTTTCAGTGGGGGATCGGCGAAGTCGTCCACGACAGCCGCGTCTGGCCTCATGCCGAGCTCGAATGGTGGGATGACCTTGCGTCTTGCCTACTACTACTTAAGTACTACCTTCGACGCTCGACACTAAGCATAAATTTCCTGGAACCTTCTCTACCCCTTTCCCGGCTCTCTCTTCCCTTTACCTCTCTCCTCTCTTCCCTCTATCACCACCGCCTCCCTCTCTCTCTCGCGCGCTATAGACCACTGACGAAATCTTCCCACCATGGCCACCGCCGACAGCAATGCCCCGCCACACCGCCCATCCCGTGCCGCCACGGTCCTGTCGGCTACCGAGTTAATCGGCACCACACCACTCGTGCGTCTTAACAAGATCCCCCAGTCATTTGGCATCAAGGCCCAGGTCTACGGCAAAGTAGAGCTCTTCAATGCCGGCGGCTCCGTGAAAGACCGCATCGCTCTGCGCATGATCGAGGAAGCCGAGCGCAGCGGCCGCATCAAGCCCGGCGACACCCTGATCGAACCGACGAGCGGAAATACCGGCATCGGCCTGGCCTTGGTTGGGGCCATCAAGGGGTACAAGACGATCATTACCCTCCCCGAGAAGATGTCCGCCGAGAAGGTTTCGGTGCTGAAGGCCCTCGGCGCCACCATCATCCGTACCCCCACCCAGGCTGCTTGGGACAGTCCCGAGAGCCACATCGGCGTTGCGAGGAGGCTGGTCAAGGAGATCCCTAACGCGCATATCCTGGACCAGTATTCCAACGAGAACAACCCGCTCGCGCACGAGTTCGGCACTGCCGAAGAGATCTGGGAGCAGACCGACGGCAAGATCACATGTATAGTAGCGGGTGCGGGGACGGGCGGTACGATTACGGGCCTGGCCAAGGGATTGAAGAAGCACAATAAAGATATCAAGGTTGTCGCCGCTGACCCTCACGGGAGCATCCTGGCCCTGCCGGAGTCGCTGAACGACGAACACCGCGACGAGCCGTACAAGGTGGAGGGAATTGGCTACGATTTCATCCCGGACGTGCTCGATCGGGAGCTAGTAGATAAGTGGTACAAGACGGACGACCAAGAATCCTTCAAGCTCGCGCGGCGATTGATCGCCGAGGAAGGGCTCCTTGTCGGCGGAAGTTCGGGAAGCGCTCTGAGCGCCTCGTTTAAGGCCATCAAGGACTTAGGGCTCGGCAAGGACGACGTTGTGGTCGCGATCCTGCCCGATAGCATTCGAAGCTATCTTTCCAAATTTGCGGATGACGATTGGCTCGCCGCGAATGATTTGCTGCCAGCTCCTGATGCAGCCGCAGAGGCGTCGCGTGCCGACAAAGGCCCCGTAAAGCCGGAAGACCCTTTCGCGGGAGCGACCATCAGTTCTCTAAGGCTGAAGCCTGTAATCTCCGTCACCGCCACGAGCCCCTGCTCCGAGGCGATCGAGACGATGCGGGACAAGGGCTTCGACCAGCTCCCGGTTCTGGCCGGCGCCGGCGGCAAGCTTGTAGGTCTGGTTACGCTGGGCAATCTGCTCAGCTACCTGTCTCGTGGGCGGGCCAGCGGGCAGAGCCCAGTCAAGGATGTCATGTTCGACTTCGGCAAGCTGGACGAGGTGGTAACCGATCCCCGGGACGGGAAGGGGAGCAACCGCCGCAAGTTCGTTGAGATCACTCTGGACACGCCTATCACGGAGCTGAGCAAATTCTTCGAATGGAACAGCGCTGCTGTCGTCACCGAGCCGAGCCACGGCAAGGGGCAGAAGGTGCTTAGCAAGCCGGTAGCAGTAGTCACTAAGGTTGACCTGCTAACCTGGATGGTAAAGCAAGTGAAGGCGTGAGTATGGTGGGGCAGGTTCGGGGAAGATAGAGAGCGGCGGACTGTTCCCTTTTCGCTTGATAGCATGTCTACGAAGGCTGGTGGGTCCGCATGGCGCTACGGTAGGATTGCATTGCCCGGGGGAGGGTTGGTTTCATAGGAGGGATTCAATCGACCCGTCTAGATAGGCTTGGGAAGATAGAGGATACACAAGACGGACAGACTTAACGTCTACGTTAGTTAATAGATGCACGAAACATATCCAACATGGGCATTCGCGTAGTGACGCAAGCGCTCTCCCAGGAATCTGATCATGAAAGATCACAAGAATATATCTTGGTGATTTCCGATGTCGTCTCCCGATTCTATTCCTTGCAGGCTGTGAAGGCCGTCTCAAGTAATTATTTTTGGTAGAGGTAGGGATTGGCGCGGCCAGTGATTACAAAATACTAGTACGTTTCATTAAACATGCGTGACAGAATTGCTTCGCTTTTCCCTCGTAACGCCATCACAGACCGTCGGGAGCAGAAGGGATCTCCCGAACCGCGCTGCCAAGCTCAGATGCGCTCGGAGATCCAGTCCCACCACTTATCGACCTTGCCGTCGAGGACGCTGCCGCCGACGACGTCGACCTCGACGTCGAACTCGCGCATCTGGCCGAAGGCGAACTTCTCGGACCCGTACTGGCCCAGCCAGACGTCGTGCTCCTCGGCCCCGACCTCGTCGGCGCCGACGCCGGAGCCCAGCAGGCCGCGGCTGCGCGTCTGGCGCAGGTGGCCGAGCTCGGCCTCGAGGCGGGCGCGGACGAGGGCGGCGGGCAGGGCGGTGAACAGGTCGAGCTTGTTGGCCGCGACGAGGACGTGGACGGCGTCGGGGGTCTTGGAGGTGCGGCCGGCGGCGGTGCGGCGCTGGAGGGCGAGGAGGAGGTCGTAGAGGTAGGCGGCGGCGTCGGCGAGGCCGCCGGGGGCGGAGCCGTCGGGGGACTCGTCGCCGTCGTCGAGGGCGGCGGCGTCGACGACGAAGACGACGCCGCGGAGGGCGGGGCCGGCGGCGGCGAGGTGGTCGGCGGCGTGGCGGCGCAGCTTGCCGTGGCCGGGGGTGTCGACGAGCAGGAACTTGCGGTGGGCGCCGGGCGCGTCGGCGCGCGCGGCCTCGCGGAAGGTGGCGGCGCCGCGGTCGGCGGACACGGTGAGCTCGACGGACTGCGGCGCCTGCGACGTGTGCGTGGCGGGGGGGCGGTCGCCGCCGCGCTCGAGCAGCGCGAGCAGCGCCGTCTTGCCGCCGCCGGGCGGGCCCGCGAGCAGGATCGACGGCAGCGAGGTGTACGGCGTCGTGTGGACCACGTAGAAGTGCACGAGGATGGGCACGATGAGGACGATCAGCGCGCCGACGACGAAGATCTCGCCCGAGGGCGTGAGGATGTACTCGAGGAGCTGCTTGAGGGCGTCCATCCTGCCGCGGGTGTCTCGGCCGTTGCTGCCGCGGCTTTGTCCTCTCGTGTTCCTAGCCGGTTCTACTTCGTAACCGACGTCCTCTTCTCTTCCCGGCGGCGGAGGGTCTCGTGTGTCGAAGGATCGGGGTTGCGGAGCTGGGGGACGGCGAGAGGATGAGGAAGGAAGAGAGGTGCAGGAAAGAAAAGAGGAAGAAGCGCCGTAGGAAAAAGAGGGGGAATTAGGAGAGGCAAAGGTGCAGAGCTGAAATAAGTGTCCAACTGGGCAGAAAAGTCATGTCATTTGTTGACTTTCGGAAAGGTTGCGCTGGGGCATCATCATTCGATGCCAAATTGGGTTGCGAACACGAAAACCGAACGGTTGTCCATGTGGAAAATCGCTGGGGCGTCTCTCTCGGCACTACTTTTGTTATCTAATCTTATCATTACCTAATCAGTGACCTACCTAGGTACCTAGGTACATTAGGTAGAGGTACGTGTAGATCTGTCCTAGGGTCGGTACAGGTTGTTTGACAGGCACTTATCAAATAGCTTATAGGTGTAAGCTTTACAGACAGCCAACTCTACCGCTAGCGGTAAGGTACCTACCTAAGGTAAGGTACTGAGGTGTATTTATAGGAGGCACCGCTATCTCTATACTCCCTCCGTTTCCAGTGCGTAGCGCGCTCCGATATATAGTGGCTGGGGCGGCGGGAAGCAAAGTGTGGCTCAGCGCCTAACGTCGCTGGCGAACTGGGCGATGACGGGGTCCAAGCAACCCCGGTCACCGGTGTCCATGGCGTACGTCGCCGTACATCACCAACACGTACACAGGTGCCCCCAGGCTGGCTTTGCCGCTGAGCCGACACTCAGGCGCGCTGCCACTCCACGTCGCCTGGCCGTCCCTATTTCTTACCTGCACCACCACCACCACCTCTACTGCTAATACCACCCATTATCCCAGCAACCCGGGCTGCGCGACAAATCATAAAAACCCACGAGCCTTGGTTCGTATTCCTTGGCTTCACCTGTAAAGTGCATCGCGCTGTAGCACCCGCATGCTTGATTTCTTCTTCTTATTCTATGCTCTTTTCCGTCCATTTTTCTCTCCTCGAATCCCGCCCTCGCTCTTTGCATCGTTCGCTGCGGGCGCGCGTCGGCTCGGCAAATTACAAACTGCTTCGTCCTCCCGATAGGTCTAGGACCGCGTAGGGCCTGCTGCATACGTCGCTTCATATATCGTTACGAATTCTGACTGCGCCCTCCCTCGCCCTCCTCCACCCATACGCTCTTACGTACTCCAAGTCAACGTCAAGAATGCGCCGTGATACCCGCCCGTAATACTCCCGCCAACCCAAATCCTACCCGATCGCCCCGGGCCATCCGCAACTCCTTTTTTTTTTAAAATAAAAATTCTTATACCTATCCTCCCCTCGCACTAGGACGCCCCGGGTCGATGTCTCAAAGCACGATATCCACCGCCGCTTCGTCCGGCGCTCCCATCCAACCGTCGTCCAAGGGCACCGCTGCCGCGCCCAAGCTCAACTCCCAAGACATGGAGATGGGCAATCTCCCCGGCGACGCGCCTCCTCCCGAGCCGGACATCATGCAGATTGCCAGGGTCGGCGACATAGCGGCGATGGAGAAGCTGTTCGAGTCGGAGGATTACGATGCGACGTATACTGACGACGAAGGCATCACGCCGCTTCACGTATGCGCCGACTTACGGACACCCGCCCCGACATCTCCCCTTTGCTAACCATAGACGTCTAGTGGGCCTCCATTAATAATCAATACGGCATGTGCAAGTTCCTGATCGAAAACGGCGCCGACATCAACAAGAAGGGAGGCGAGAGCGTGGCGACGCCCCTACAATGGGCCGCCCAACGCTCCAATTACTACACCGTCAACCTCTTGCTCCAACACGGTGCCGACCCTCTCATAACCGACGCGCAGGGCTACAACACCCTCCACATCTCGACCTTCAGCGGAAACGTCTTGTTGGTGGTGTTGTTATTGCATCAGGGTATCCCCGTCGACGTAGCCGATGCGTACGGCCACTCGAGCCTTATGTGGGCTGCATACAAGGGCTTCCCGCAGTGCGTAGACCTCTTTCTCCGGTGGGGGGCCAGCGTCCACGCGACAGACGAGCAGGGCTTTACCGCCCTACACTGGGCTCTGGTCAAAGGGTCTCCGCAATGCATACTAAAGCTCTTGGAGTATGGCTCGGACCGGTTCGCGAAGACGTCAACGGGCAAGACGCCTGCGATAACCGCCAAGGATCTCAACACCGTCAATGCCTGGCACCGCGCTTTGAAGGAATGCGGCTACGACGAAGACGGGCACGCTGTGACGCCCTGGTGGCCCGGGTCGTCCTTCTTCCTCAAGGACAAGCGAGATTTCATGAACAAGTTCTTGTTCCTGCTGCCTATCGCGCTGCTGTGGATCGAGCTGATGGTCTTTGCTCACTTCCCCATCTTCTTGTCCGTGCCCATCTCGCTGCTGGTTGGGTTTGGATTTCAGTGGATCACAAACCAAGTGCTCGAGTATGCACCGTCGGATATGAGACATCTTCACCGGACAGTACGTGTTCCGGACCGACAAGACATGGCGTTAGACTAACGAATCGACTTCAGCCTTGGCTAGCCGGCATCTTTGCCGCTTCTCTCTTCCTCGTGGGCGTACGTTGGCTCTTGACCATATTACCATGTAAGCTTCCTAGCAATATTAACACACTGCTGCTTCCATCTATTCCCGCTAACACGGTCCAGGGACCTTCTCGAGTCACCCACTCATCAATTTCACCTTCCTATTCTTCTACGGCCTGACGGCGTACTTCTACGCGACGTGCATGGTCTTTGACCCCGGGTTCGTCCCCAAGATGAACGGAATCGCGGAGCAGAAGGCTGTGATTGACGAGCTTTTGAGCCTGTGGAAATTTGACGAATCCAACTTCTGCGTCACTTGCATGATTCGAACCCCCTTAAGGAGTAAGCACTGCCGACGGTGTCAGCGGTGTGTAGCCAAACACGATCAGTACGTCCTCCTTATCATATTAGCCCGTGTCCGCCCAACCAACCTAGCTAACGTCACGACGCAGCCACTGCCCGTGGGTTAACAATTGTGTGGGCGTGAACAATCACCGACACTTTTTTCTCTACCTGATTAACCTAGTCTTCGGAATTTTAGCCCTGGATTGGTTGCTATACTATTACTTCCTCGCCCTGCCAGAGCCCAAGTCTGACGACTGTCTCGTTCTATCGGATTCCCTGTGCAAGATCGTCAACGCAGACTCCTATACCGTTCTCCTCGGCGGTTGGACGACGTTGCAGCTAACGTGGGTTGGCATGCTCATCTTCGTGCAATTCGTACAAATCGCGCGCGCTATGACGACGTACGAGAATATGTACGGCATTCAGGACGGTTCCGCGTCGTCGTTAGTTTCGGCCTTCACGAGCACCGGCGCCCCGCTAGATCCCAGCCACCCCAGCGCGGTGCCCCCGTCCGCCGCTGCCGATCCCCTCGGAACCGGGAGAGGAGGACACGCTCATAAGCACAAGAGCTTCTTGAAGCAGTGGGGCCGCTTGCTAGGCGTCGACACGTTCATCGAGACGGCGGCGGGTCGGGGTGCCGCCACGGGCAAGAAGCTGAAGAAGAAGAAAAACCCGTACAACAGGGGTCTCGTGCAGAACTGCCGCGATTTCTGGTGCGATCCGTCGCCCGTATTTTGGCGCCGCGAAACAGGGGACGCGCTCCTCGGTGGCGAGAAGGTGAACTACACCGAGATCTACGAGAGCCCGACCGCGATGGGCTTGGGTTTGAGCGGCGCGAACGGGCGGAGGAGAGACGGTTACGAAACGGTGGCCGGCGAGGAGGTATAGTGACGCATTCCACTTTCCGGGATGCGAATCGACGCAAATGAATGTGAATGTTTGGCATAGCGTCACGGCTATCGGTGGCCACGGATGAAGCACGAAGCATTAGAATGCGTACTAATAAGATGCCGCGCCCGCGCCTTGATACCCGAATGTGCTGCGGTGTTGACGAATGTGGGGTGGCTTGAAAAGTGCATTAGGGATTCGGGAAGGATATTCGTTTTCAGGCAGTCTCACGATGAGCACGACTAACCCACCTGGTTAAAGGAGTATGGGACAGTGACCAAGTGTGAGCGAGTGCAATAGCGGTCGCCGTATACACACGAAAAAGCTAAAACGCGGCAACGTCAGGCAGAAAATAATGCCCGAAATATAACTTGTCTACCCAGAAGACCAATGCCCAGGCATCCCTGACGCGCAGTAGTCATGTAGAGGACTCGGCCTGCTGCCCAGCATAGCAATCACCCCTTTGCCGATTCCTCGTGGGTAGCCAGCCCTCCGTCTGCTCTTCAGGAGGGGCGGCCAGTCCCGCGCGTCGTTGGTATCGGCGGCCTGCTAAGCGACGGAGCAGACGTCGGCATCCCCAGCGACGTAGTGATCGCCGCGGGCGGCGGCGGGATAGGAACTGCCAGTAGAGGCTTGGGAGGCCACCGGCAGCGGTCACACGCGTCGAAAGCGTCTAGGGAGATAGGAAAGGAGTCCTTATTCCAGCGTTTCGAGTACACGTCCCTTAGCGCGGCGCGGTTGGGGCGGAGAACCCGGCCGGGGGGGATAGTCGCCGAGGAGCGAGTTGGCGTGGCGGGGGGAGACGACGGCCTTGATGCCGCAGCGGGAGAGCTTCCTGGGGACCTTGTCGGCGGCGTCGAGGGTCTGGTGGCTGAAGCGGCCAAGTGCCTCCTCCTCGAGCGGTGGCGCTCGGTCGCCAGCACGCCCACGTACGTGTCCTGGTCCGCGTCCGACCGCCCCGGTGGGAGGTACCTACGGGCTCGACCCCAAGAACGACTTCGAGCCGGACTGTCATGGCTCGTTTGCGGCCGGCGCGCTGATGCTGAGGATAAGGAGTGAGATGTTCATTTTAGTTATTCTATTTCTCTCGGCCGACACGTTTTTCGTGCGCCGCGTGTTGCGTTTCGTGTCGACCTGGCAGGCCGGTGTCGTGACACAGCGGTGGTATCTATCCTTACCAAACACTAGCAGTTCTTTGGAAATTATGGCAACCCCCAAATTTCGCCGCCGTAGATTACGTCGATGCCGCGAATATTGCAGTCGAGATTTATGACTGTCGTTATCTTCAACCCGAGTAGAAACCCATGTCCTTGTCCTCTCACTTACCTAACCCCTATTCCTAGAATAGGGCATGGCATGTCGTTCTTCCAGCCAATGCCGCCACATCGCCACCAATTTTAATCACGATCTTATGACGATTTTGAGAGGGTTTTCTATTGCAGCAGAGCCACGGAACGCTTCGATGTCGTATTGATGGCAACTGAAGTGTCCATGGCAAGCCTACTAAATATAGCCGGGCTTTGATTGTTCGGTTTTAGGGTTGTCCATCAGGCTTTGGATGACTTACCTACTCTAGATTCTCCCATATTTCCTTTCTTGTCCGGCCCAATGCGATCTTTCTATCGAGGCGTAACCGCCGAACTACTAGTGACGATCAATTAGTATTACCCATCCCAATCCCGTAGGCCGCACCGGTACATCGGCCGGAGTGGCCCTTTGCTATTACCAACCACTCCATCCACCTGGGGCTCGGGAAATCTAGTTATACGAGACCACGGCGTAGACATCTACATTTTCCCCGCGAGCAATGTAGGCCTATGGAAGTATCATTACTACGTAACGCTTTATGTTGGGCTAACATAGTCAGTCACGATTTTTATCTCAGCACATCACAGCCGATGACTGCAAAATACCATACGTAGTGCAGAATTTTATAACATTAGAATGCACTCGGAAGTTGCGTGACTGCCCCCAAAGAAGATCTTACGCGCGATAAGATAGTCTCTGCAGTTGCTACAGCTATAGCTAATAATGGTGGCCATTATAATCCTCTTGCTATCTTGGCCGTGGAGTTAACAAACTACCTAACTATTGCCCGTCACTTATAGGTCACAACATAAAAGATTGATATACCGCAGACCCTCACCGGCGAGACTGGGTTTGAAGGAAGAAATAGTTCGGTTACGTTGCCCGAGCACTATACTATCCCCAAAAAATTTCACCTTAACCAAATTTGCAGCCCTTCATAAGACCAGTACGATGTCCTCGTCGGCAGTACCCGGCCGTTCCAATTTCAAGTCTGCCACGTGTTTCTCGACACAGGCCCAGCAAATCTCATGTGGCAGCTTTGGCAGGATCACCGTAGGCCTGGATAGGCGTATAGCAATCCCTACGGCGGCGAGTCTGCTGGTCCAGTTCTCCGAGGTGCAGACAATGGACCACTTCCTATCGATCGGAGGGACCAGGAGTTCGTCCCAATTAGTCACTGCAATCGTCTTAGAGGAATCGGCATCCGAAGCAGAGAATCCCGGCGTCTTCCCTTGTGCCCGTGTCGATGAATGAGTGGTGTTATCCTGGTTCTCACAATTGCAATTGGTGCGGCTCAGGAGCTCGCTATTCATCGTGCCAAGAATATCAAGATCGCACACCCATGCGGTGCCGTCGTACACTTGAACTAAACTCTCTCGCAGAACAGTCGCTTCCTCAATGTAATGTTCATCTCTGTTAAGTCCCCAGAGCCCTGGCTGGTACTGCGTTAGGGCAAGATGTATCGAGGTTTTCCCAAAGTTGTCTTCAATGCGGCCCGTAAACTCCTCGTGATTTAGCACGGTAAAATCACCCGTAGTTGGTTTCTTGATCCGCGGCTGTGGCAAATAAGATACCGGGTTGGCCAATGTTGCCAGGTACGCGCCGAATCTTATTCTCCTCCTGAAGCGTTGTGAGGTGGAAAGGAGATTGTTAATACTCACGGGCGTCAGTGGCGTCGGACCTAAGCTTGGAATTCAGAGACATTGTCTCTGGAATTTCATTCAACAATGCTGCGTATATCACCTCAGCCATACATGCCGATTCGAGATGAGGTGATATGGAAATAAAACAGAGATCACACCTTTTCGCCCCCGTCTAGTTTAAAGAAATTGCCTCTTGACATATTAGGTACGGTACTTGATGCATCCGATAGCTTCACGCCACACGACCTAGCTAGGTGTCTAATCAGGGGTCAAGATGCGTCGATCAGATCCTCGTAAGATAAAGGGTAAGGGTTTCATGTGGCTCGTCGATGACAAACACCAGAGCAAGCAAGAAGGTGGACATTCATCAGCGGATGTCACGATAAGAGAAAAAAAAAACATGGCGCACATGCTTTTGGCGACATCTCTGATGATCTCGTGGGTGCACCTCTTCGAGTGCAAAACATTCATCTGCACATAGCAAATACGGCTAGGACAGGAAATTGAACCCTGTATTAGTAGCGAATGAAAGACACCATGTCTCAGATCCATTGCTTCGTCGCGACCGGGCAGCCGAGGACGACGTCATCAGACGCCATGTTGAGATATATCATCCCGCGTATCGCCGCGCCTCTGGGCGCAAACGGGGTCGGCAAACATCGTGTCAAACTACCACGTCGCGGAGAACACCCGTCCTGCTTGGCCACCCATCTGCGCAACGGGAATGTAATGTAGAGAAGAGCAAACCGGCACACTCACCAGCGATCCCGCCAATATGCGATTTCCCACCCTCGCGCTCGCCGCGCTCCTGTCGGGGCTGGCCAGCGCCGCCCCGGCCATCACCGCACGGTACGCGCTCACCCTCTCACGCACGCGCGCGTGCTCCCGCCGGGGGGGACGTCTTGTTAACGGGCGGAATGCCTCGCAGCGGGTGCGGCGACACGCTGGGCACGCAGCCGGCGTGCCAGGACAACTGCCCCGGGACCTGCGCGCAGAGCAGCGTGGACGGCTGGGTCTGCTCCTGCTAGAAGCGCGGTCGCAGCACGCGGCGGTAGACGCGTCGGCCGTCGTCGTCCGGCGACGGCTCGCGAAGCGCGCCGCGACGCGAGCGACCTCTTCGGGCGATGCCAGCGTTGCCTGCGCCGGGCGCTCTGCGGGCCGCGGGCAATTAATTCGGTTGCGTCCGGGAGAGCCACGCGTTGGGGTAGCGAGACGAGCAGCGTCCGAGATTGCGGGAGGCCAAGCGTGGGCCCGTCCGGTCAGGGAGTCGGGCCGGGGCGGGAGTGCGTTCGTAATCAGGGCATCGTCTCGTCCTGCATACCCTCGCCTAAGACCAAGTTATTGTTTCATGTAATGCGGCTCTGACATCTGCAGCGTGCCGCGAGCAAACCTGCGGAATTGGCTGAGGCCACACGGCGAGGGAGAACAGGCAGGGGATCTTCGGGCTTAATATATACCTAAGTTGGCGTCGGGGGGGGGAAGGGGAGGGAGACTGGATAATGATGCCGCATGTGTTCGTGTACCTATTTGATTACTCCCTAATGACAGCCTGCATTTGCTGGACCGTAACCGTCTATCGAACTCACAGGCGGCGGAGAGAAGTGATGCAGAGGCGTACGATCGCAAACACGAATTACGATACCTAGGTACCTATACTCACGAGATACCCCTGCACTTCCTGTTGTGTCAATTTTTATTTTTATTTCACGGATCCGCTTTGATCTCTCTTGTGATTGTCATCCTGCGAAAGTGGAATTCTGTAAGCAGCCTCGCAGCCCATCTCGTCGCGTTACGTTACCTAGGTACGTTGCTTCCGGTGCGGCCAGTTACCTATGTGTTACCGCCACAGCGCGACACAACGCTGCTTTAGGTACCATGCAGATATGACAGGTGCATCGTCTAATACGCGGCAGAACTTCGTCCATATGATTGACAGCTCACTGCAAACTACTGTCGCTCTTTTCTCTTGCTGATTTTTTTTTTTCGCCTGGGTCCTGAGATGGTGTTGGCTAGCCCGTACTTCTGCAGCTGGCTCTCGTCTGCGCTTTTTAGGTGATGTTAGCGCTTATAAGACACCCTGGCATCCCCATTTCCAGGGCTTAGGTAGTATGGGTACGGTGTCTATTTAAAGAAACCGAGGTGACCAGTCGCGAAGAGAACCAATCGTCGCTGTTTCTCCCCGCGGCTCTGTGAAGCTGGGCCGCCCAGCTCTGGCTCAAAAGGGGATTAGTTTCCATCCAGCGTCCTAACGATGGCTTCATCGGTAAGCTCATACTACGGTCCAACACCTTGTGATAGGTTGTTCGTTACCAACAACAGCGACAGTCCTGCCTTATTGGCTGTTTCCGCACCAGCCCTGCAAGCCAAGTAGGTATATGGTCTATGGAAGCCCAACTCGCAGCCCCAGCAACAACGCACCGCCCCGAGTCGAGTGCACTAAAGGGAGACATACGAGCGCCACAAGAGGAGGCCTACGCCCCCCCCGTGACTAGCCATGGGGTCGGTACTCTCACCCTATCTCGTTTTCTTCGGCCCTCTCCCGAAGTAGGCCTCCCTCACATCTTCCTCTCCTACAAGTCCTCGGGGGCCAGCAAGCGACCAAAAGACAGCCTGCCCAACCGTCACCGCCGCCATGAGGCCTCTCCCCTTGGTTATGGCCGTGATGGCCTGGACATCGTCTGCACTTGCTCAGACCGAGAGGCAAGCAAACGCAACTTCAGACAGCGTATCCATTGCCGCGACGACAGGGTCGAGCGCCGCCGCAACACACACAGTCTCGGTCGGGCTACAGCATAATTTCGACCCCGACACGATACACGCACAGCCGGGCGACACGATCCGTAAGTAGCGGCAGAGGAGTAGTGTCGACCTCTTGATGCTTGGTTAACCGCCGCCCTAGGCTTCAACTTTTATCCCAAGAACCACTCCGTCGTGCGCGCCGATTTCAAGAAACCGTGTATACCGTGGGAGCTGACCAACGACCCCGCCGGCAGCTTTTTCAGCGGCCCCATACAACAAGAGACGCTACAGTCTCCGATCCCGAGCTGGGATTTAGAGGTGACCACCACGGAGCCGGTGTTTTTCTACTGGTAAGTCTGCGTGCCACTACCGATAGGCGGAATCGTGCTAAAGAACAAAATTAATCAAAAGCTCTGCGCCCGAGTCTTGCATCAGATGGAGCATGGTTGGTGTTATCAACCCGGTACGCGCATCCGAGTTGTTTCGTGCGTCGCACAAGGTAATATACTAACCACGCCGCAGAACGCGACGTTCACGCTAGGTATCCAGAAGCAATTCGTCGCGAACTCGACGTTCCAGCTCAGTCCGGGGGAGGCCTTTCCGGACGAATCGTCGCCGTCCAACTCGCCGGCCCCCGACGGCGGGTCGAGCGGCCCGGCCCTGTCGCCGGGGGCGATTGCGGGAATCGCCATCGGCGTCGTCGCCGTCGTCGCCGTCGTCGTCGCCGTCGTCTACCTGTGCGGCAGGAGGGGCGGGATCAAGAAGGGCTATCGACGAAGCAACATGACGGCCGTGTCGCCCCCGCAGATCATCGAGGCGAACTACAACGACGGCGGGACCAAGACCGCGCCCGTCGGCTCGCCGTACGCCGCGTCCGCGCATGCCGAGCCCTACGGCTCCCCGAGCCCGGCCCTCTGGGGCTCCCAGACGGGAAGCCCCCAAAATTCCTACCTAGGCCAGCCAAGCCAACTCAGCCCGGGGATACCGCCCTACACTGTCGACAGTCCCTTGATGCCGGGGCAGCCGCCGCCGCAGTACTTGTAAGCTCGCCATTCTAATAACTGCCAGTTGGTCCCCGCTGCTAACACTGCGCAGTGAGGCACCGGATACGCAGAGGCTCTCACAAAGTCATTCGGTAGTTCCGCCCGTGGAGCTTCCCGGGAGCTTGGGCCGTTAAGCCGTATGAAGTGCGGCAATGCCACGGAATTGGGGAGCGGCTGTTGGGCCTGCAGTAATTCTCGTGTCGGTGCAGCAGCGCTGGATGGGCCCACGTGGTACTTGCGCTTGTTTGTCTGGGAGCATGGCGTTTTGGCATTTTCGTCTTCTTTTTCTGTATCCAGCTCCAGGCTCGCATACAGATGATACCGACAGGGCATCAAAGTCTCCGCGACTGGAGGAAGTATTAGAGTTAAAGGTTCTGCGGCGAGGAGTTGGGCGGTCTGCGTACCGCCCCCGTAATGGCTGCAGAAACTCCCTTCTTTTCAGCCTTCCGCGGGGACCAGGTAGCTAGCTGCATCTTCTCGTAGTCGACCTCTCAGGACTCTTCCGAGTGGGCAACAAAGATCAACCCGTTAATGATACCTTAACGGCCAGTAAGCTGGCCCGCTATTATGTGATAAGGCCTCATAACAGTATTCTAGCCCTTATTTCAGAGAAGACCGACTTTGCTTTCCAGGAGATAGCCGAGCTTGCGCGTGAGCTCGACCCAGAAGGAATACGCACCTTAAAGGACTAGTTGTAAAGCCGGACACCCTGGATTCGGGATCCGGCAGCGAAGCTTCGTATCTCAAGCTTGCCTATAAGAAGGATGCCTTGCGATTGGGTCAGCATATCATTAAGAACCCAAGCTATGAGATGGGAGACACTTCTTTCGCCGAGCGTGACACAGCTGAGGAGAGCCTGTTGTTTCTACTGGAGCTTGGAGGTCTATAGACCCTACAATTTTAGGAGTACCAGTGTTAAACCTCGAACCTAAGTCTCTTGAGAGGTCAGGTCTTAGGTTAGCTATTAAGTTTGATCAAGGACGTCGGGTCTAGCGTCAGATTGTTGAAGCCAACTAGAACACCTCGAGATTTCACATGGTAACCTTGAATAACAACGCCGTTATCTTCTTTAAGTCGGCTAAAGATTCTTGGTATCGATAAAAGCCACTGTAAATGGCCTTCATAACGATCCTTTCTTCGAAAGCGTCAAGACCGATGATGAATACCAGAGGCCTCGGGGCAGTCACTCAGAATAGCTTAATCGAGTTTGCAGAAGAGATGACAAGTCAAAGGGCAAATTTGGATTACCGTTGAATCACCTTCTATAGATCCAGTTCTTCGCCCTGAGAAGATGGCTTGGTTAAAGTACATTATTAAAGCCTGAGATCTGATGCGGCGACGCGGAGGCGGCACACTGCCAGGCACATTCAACCTCGGGCCAGAGAAGCCAATTCCCGCCCAGCTGCAAACCAACTTAACATCGAATTTCTAGATCACACGCCAGCATTCATGTAGTATACGGTGCGTGCGCCAAGATATCAACCATCTTCGCTCAAGCCTGCCGGCGGCTCTCTGTACGAATCCCACTCTCTTTTCACCTCCTCCGCCCACTGCAGTTTTGCCAGCTTCCATCCACCAATACGCTGGTCATATTGGATCTTTCCGCCTGCCATGACTTCGTCGCGCAGACTTCTCAAATAGTCCTCCTTGGTCCATTTTGGTAGGCGAAGCCGCGGGTGATCTTTGTCACATGCCAGGGCTGGAACGGAGGAAACACTGTCAGGCCCCTGATGGACCTTGGTGAGACAAGTATCGCAGAATGCCGTGGCATGGCAGGTCTTGCACACATTCAAGGCGATGGCGAATCCCCAGTGTTGCCCGCATTCGTCACAGAAAGTGCTCGCTGTCCGGTCCAGCCGATCCGAAAGCTCCTCCAGACATTCTCCGATCTTCCGGTAGGCCTTGATTGTCTCAGGAATTTCATGGCCTTCGATCTCTTGGGGGGCATGTCCCGGCTCTTGCGCGGCAGCTCCCGATTCCGCTTTTCTCGATTCCGACGTAGCATAGGCCAATTGACGCTCCACCTCACTGAGCAGACGGCCGACTTGGCCTTGCACATCAACTTTCTCTTGAGTCTTTCCCACCGTGGCATCGATCAGTTGTTCGGAAAGTTCTCGTGTAAGTGCGTCAGATTCATCGGACAACAGGACCCAGGACAAGACATCGTCTCCATCTCGAGGCAACACGTCAGCGTAAAAGGACGTGAGCGAGTCGGCATCATTGCCACAGTGTATGAGGGTATCTCTGAGCAGATCAAACCCCCACCCATCATTGTACTCCTCGTCGTCGAATAGGACCTCGAAGGCCAGGAGAATAGGGACCTCGACTATCTCCCTCACTTTCGACGGTTGTTCACGCGAGACATAGTAAGACGCTAGGTACGCCTTCGCGGGAGACAGCATGGTAGATGAGCTCCGAGCCGCGATCCTTTCAAGCCTCTCGACATGCTCTCGCCCCTCCACCGGATCCTTAGTTCTCAGGATGCGGAAATAATGCGCACTTAGCAAGTGTGTGGCCATTGCGTCGTCCCGTTCCGAAATCCGATTCTCAGCGTGGGCAATATTCATGCATTCTTGCCACGAATCCACCGCCAGCTTCAGGTTCCCTCCGTGGAAGTAATTGGCGATTCCTTTAACGAGATGCAGGGTCGGTTGAAGAGATCTTGGCTCTCGGGCCTCCAGTCCGACTGACTCGACAAGACTCGGAAGATCCTGGCCTATCACATGGGAGTTTCGATGCATCAGTGCCAGAAGCTTGATGGTATGTGAGAAGTCTTCCGTGAGGTCGTAAAGGTATCCAATGACCTTCCAAAAGATGCTAGGGTTCTTCGAATCCTTTTCATCCTCGAGTAGTTCCCGTATCAGTTTCGCAGCGTCCTCGTCCAGATCGTTGACGAGATAGCTTCTCAGAAGCCGGGAATAGGCCTTTGCACTCGACGGATTGGCGTCGAGAACATCTCGTTCGTTCTTGATTGCCGCGTCCCAATCCTCGAGCTCATGGAGCCAGTCCCCAAGACGTTCTTGGGCAGCGCTGATTCTGGAGTTGTCTGGTGACGGTTTTTTCTTGAGGAGTTCCAGACCGTGACGCATGCGATCGCAAGCTGTGTTCAGTTCTCCGCGCTTAGCACATGCTTCGGCCGAGCTCATATATATGTCTGGGTTGGAATCATCGTGCAGCAATGCCTCGGTAAACGCGGCGTCCGCCTTGTCTAGGAAGCCGTGAACCCTGAAGGTCTCACCCAGACGCTGGTGCCAGACAGATTGATTTTTAACAGGTATCTGTAGCTCACTTTTGCAGTAAGAAGCAACTCGCGCGATTATTGCATCGTCTATTATGTCATAGCCATCGGTTTCGTCTTCTTCTGCGTCTTGGGATTCAGATGCCCGTGAGGGGTTATCGCCCTGAACAGTCGGTTAACTCAGTATTATAGCTGTTTCTGATCGATACGAGGGGAATGAAAGAAGGAGGAAAGCAAAACGAGGGAGAAGCACTGGGCAACTGACCATTAACATGTACCCATACAACCATTCAAAGGGCTTCGCGACGTCCCATTCCGCATCTTGTAGCCACTGGTTCGCTAGCATTTTCACTATTTCGAAGAGCACAGATTGACTCGGATTTGGACTTTTGCGGACGTCTTGCAACCATCTCTGATCCTTTAACCCAAGTGTACCAATGACAGTAGCATCGGTCAGCCAATTCACCAGTAGCTCGAGCTCACTTTGATGTCGGTGCCAGGTCACCTCGCTGAAATTAACCCAATGGAGTTTGGTCATATGACCGGACTCGAAGAGCGTGTATAAGTTCTTCCCAATCTCGTTACTTTCGTGCGGTAATAGTCCGCTTGGTTGTCCTAGTGCCTTCAGATGTGAGGGTAAATAACGCAATAGATATCGCGAAAGTTGCTCGGTTTTCTTGCACGGCGGTTGGTCTAGAATTCTGAATGTCAGTCTCAAAATTCTGAGATAGCCATCGAGCTTGTTTATCTTGGTGACGCTTCTTCCGACGTTGCTACGTTGAGCGAGCTGGTCAAAGTTAGTTGCGGCGTGGTTGAGCTTCTGCATAAAATCCCAATAAAAAGACTGGACAGATGAAAGGTCCGCTTTCGTGATCGTGATTGTTGCCGAGATTCTTGGCGTGTCATCTGCGCTCGTAGTCTGCCGAGAACTTTCGTCCTGGAAAAGGGCTTTTAGGCCCTCGACTATCTCGACAGCTTCTCCTCTGTCCGTTTTCACGATCTTGAAGACGTCAGAGTAGGTGCCCGTAATCTTTTGGAGAAGTCGGTTCTTGGAATGTGTTCCGAACTGCATGAACTAATGTTTGATCAGCTAAATTCATTCGGGATCTTTGCCAAACTGATTTACCATTATTCCATACAGCTGATCTACGTTGAGTCGCTCTAGTCCGAAATGTGTCCAGAGGAGTAACTCTTGGAGCTCTTCCAGGTCGTTTCCATTCAATCTCCTCTCTAACGACGCAAGAGCATTGGTTGCGATGGTAATTTCATTGTAGTTGATGTCGAATATCTTGTCGAACATCTTGTCGCTGGCTTCAACAGACCCAATCTTATCGACGTCAGCGTCTAACCGATCAATCGCTCTTCCCACTTTCACATAATCGCCGTTCGAATGGTCGATGAGCTTGTTGATGAAGGTCCTCCTGATGCTAATGGTCTGGTCGTCGTCGTCTTGATAAATGAATCTTTGCTCCATTTCGTGTTCAATGAAATTTCTTAGATCTTCGTTGTTTTCCTCCGCAATATCAATATGCGGAGCCCGCGCCTCCAACGACACGCCGATCCTCGAGTCTAGCCTCATGGATAGCAAGACCTTCAGGGTCTTTTGCGTGGCGCCGATGCTATCAAGTATGGTGAGAAGCTTTCGTTGATCGTTCGTCTTAAGACTCTCGAGGCCATCGATGACAATATAGTGTATAGACTTTCTCTCGAATGTTTCAATCTCCAGAAACTCCCAGAGCTGTTGGCCTTTCTTGTCTTGGATGTCTACCTCCTTCGAGGAGGCATCAACACATATTTTCGACAAGTGTCTGGCAAACAAAACATCCTGATTTGCTAGTTGCAAGACGATGCATTTGAGTGCGTTTTCCACCGGCTCCATGCCATCGTCCTCTCCAATTCGAGCAGGGAAAAAACACGCAGCAACGCAGTTCTGCCTCGACAAATTGGTCACTTGCAAGGGTTTCCTTCGTAGATACTCAGTTATGGCTAAAGAAACCACAGATTTTCCTGTGTTCTGTCCGCCCGAGAGTACCAGCAAGGGTTGTGCCCCATCGCCAGCCCTCGCCCATTGATGGAACTTTGGACACTTCCCCTCGTCGTAAAACCATTTTACGGCTCGGGCAAAACTCTGATCGCGGGTGTTTTCGTGGCTCTCTACCATAGAATCTGTGATTCTGAGTAGCGACTTGATATTTGCAATAAATTTTTGATGATCTTCTTTAATCTTCCGCTGGCTCTCGGCGCCTCCCACAGTTTTAGCGATGTAGTCGACTTGCTTTCCGGTTTCTGCCGCCATGTAGAGTAGTTTTGTTGTCTTGGTGTCGTTCTTCAGCACTTCTTCTAATGTCTGTGTGACCTTCTTGAGTGTCTGGGTGTTTTGAATGGAGTTGTGGTTGCCAACAAGTGTCTTGAAATTATCAATCGCCTGTTGGATATCACCAGTGCTCTCCGATGATAATGCTACCTTCCATCTGACCTTGAACCTGTCCCATTTTCCTCCATTCCGAAGTTGGATGGACAACGCACATATGTCGACGAAACCGATCATTATCTTGTGTATGGAGCCAATCAGCTCAGGCCCTAGGCTCTGAAAGTCATTGATTGTTCCATATATTTTGAGAATATTTAGACTCGGTTCAAGCTCCCCCAGGAGACTAGCAACTGCTTGCCTGAAATTATGAAGCTTCTCCGGGATGTCGAGAAGGAAGCTCAAGGCGTTGAAGCAGAGACTGGCTGGAGGAAAGACCTGAAGAAGAGTTAGCATCAACTGAGACAGCTTAAGAATGGGAAGTATACATTACTAGCTACTTGTGCAGTGACTCCACCAAGCAGTTTTATATATCGTAAGACCACGATGCCGGTCTCCTCAATCTCAGATGTTGTCGCATCCTCTGGTGTCTCAATTTGCTTGATACAGTCCTCAAAGCTTTTGAAAGGCTTGCTGGTGAGATTGTACCCGGTTTTGTCGTGAAACCGGGTTTCTGCAGCCTGCCATAGCTCTTCCATAGTGGAAAGTCGTCCGCTTGACGTAATTATCGTCATGTTGACTACGCAGTAAGGATGCAGCAGGCAAGGTCGTAGGTGTCAGCTCAGCGGATATCGCGTCAACTTATAACTAGCAGAATAATATGTAGGACTTGTTGCGCACCCAGTATTAGAGTGCTGACAGGCCAGAAAATCGACAAGGGACAAATCGATCACGGGCAGCTGGTTCCCACAATTGCCAGCCTAAAAGTTCGCGCCGACTTATGAACGGACAAAGGGGAGTCGGAGAGAAGGATTTTTGCACAGTACTCGACAGCTTGCTGGGCATGGGGATTACATATACCTATGCAAGTGTTAAGAGCCAGGCAAATAAGTGAGATGGTTGGGCATGACTGCAGCGAACTCGAACTCGGCTGTACCCATGCATTTCGGCCATCCAAAGTGTCAGTGCGACGGTGAATGAATAATAACGTAGGTACATGCTACCGAGTTACCGCGTCCAGACAGCCGGTTGTACCCGTCATCCCCCAGGTCAACCGATCCTCCTCCTGCGGCGCGCGCACAAGCTGGACTCGACGCTCTCGTGTGCCTCGTCGCTTACCAGCCCAAATTTCAGGCTCAGCACTAGCTGTTACCGAGGTTAGGTGGGTTTCGAGTCGGTGTAGGTATTTCATGTGGTGCGTGGATCGTGGGCCTGGCGGTCGTTCCTGGGAAGCCTTCAAGGGTCCCGAATTTTGGCCGGTAAGGCGTTGGGGCTTACGAGGCCGCAGCGTATTGACGGCTCATCACAAGATAGTCGAAACAAGGACTGTCGCCGCGTATAGGTGATAGCGTGCGCGGGACCAAGTGCTCGTCAATTCTATCTGAGCGTGCGACTCTATTGCCGCCGCGAGAACCCATGGTCTCTCGTCGAGTAATAGATCGAGAGCAAGCCATCCAGGGTCTCTAGCCACATTGGTAGACGGGAGTTTCAGTGGCCCAATATGCATACAGATTTTTGTTCCCCTTTCGATCAATTCTGGTCTGCCTTCGCTTCTCTTCTTTTTGCGCCGCTTCCGCGTGCCTGTGTTGCGTCGCCAGTATTGCGCGCTGTTGGGGCGCGGATAAGTGCATCAAGCTGTTTCGGTCGTTCGCGCTCATATTTGCCAGCTGATATGTCGCCAACGCGCTCTCTCGTTTTTCCCTCTTCGATAACAATCGGGTGTCACGTATACCCGAGTCGGGCTCCTCTTTGCTAGACCCCTCCTCGTCGTTGGGTTCTACCGGGGAGTAATATTCTAGCTGTGAAGCCGGGGTTCGGGTTCGGCGGCGCAACTGGGTGGATGAGGGTCCCGCTTGTGCTGATGACTGCCTCGATATGATTTTACCTGACGGTAAGCGAATCCAGTCTTCGTCGGCCAGCAGCGGCTTTCGATTTTCCCTCGTTGCCCTCTCCTCCTGATTGCTCTGGTCACCATCGCCCTCGACATCACTGGCTGCGACGCCTTCCGGCCCCGAGAAGTCGTAAAACTCGGCAAACCCGGAGTCCGGCCCCGATATATCGAATTTGCAGTGACCCTTACCGGCCATATGTTGCTGTACAGCTTGTACCGTAGCTCTCTCTGTTCCGCATTGTATGCATTCCCGGTATCCAAAAATAACGAGATGCAGATACTTGAAGAGAGTCTCGAGGTCGACTGTCAGATGTTGCTGATGCGGAACAAACAGGCCGTGTGATTTTTGCATGTGTATCACACTGTCGGCGAAGCTTGGCGAGAGATTGGGACAGAATAGGCATTGCCCGGGCGTGAATAGTTGCATGGCCGCGTCGGGAGAGTCGATTGACTCCTTGGGGGGTGTGGGTGTAGAGCTGGTTTCCAGACTCGAGGATAGACTCGTAGGTAAAGTCGAAGTTGTCGTCATAGTTGTCGTCGTGGCTGTCGTCGTAGCTGTCGTCGTTAGTGGCATATGGGTATCGATGCGTGGGAAGCGGCCGCGGTTCTAGACCAAGTTCAACTCTCAAGCCTTGTAGTGATTCGGCCCAGGCGTTGTTGGTGTTTTGATCACGGATTAGATGGTATCGAACGGAGCGAACTGAATTGCCATCTGTTTTATATATGCCTACACCTATACCTAGGTATAGGTGGAGTTAGGCGATGCCGACGTCTGCAGTCTGTAAGGAGCAGGGCTGTCGAATTGCGGCCTTTTCATTGGCCAATTCAGCGATGTGAGCCAAGACCACCGGACTAAGCCTTTTCGGGATAAAGAGCAATGCCACTTTCTACCAATGAGCTGCTCATCTGCTCACTGACGAGGTATGATTCATAATGAATAATGAACCCCACTCCAACTCTAGCATAAGCTGGCATGCCGAATGGACCAGTGCCATCCCGAGAGTCGCGGGTTTCTATATGTATATACCTACCCAAAAAGCTGGCACATGCGCCATGCTCATCCATCATTCAACTAGAATTGCCCAGCAGTGCGATGATCCCGGAGCTCTCGACATGCGCCGAGCTTCGCTTCTCCGAGATTGGTGGCTGATTTCGGTCTCTGCCACGCGCCGAGGAGCAATCGGGAGAGAGCGTGGTAAGACACTCCGCGCGGAGTCGTGGCTGGAGACGTCAGATGCCAGGACGTACAAGACGGCGTCGCTTCTTCAAAAAGCCTACCGAGACACCTCCTGGCCTTGACTCGTTTGCGAACTGTTTAGCGACGTGGCGCTAGGCTCACCACTTGACACCTTCATCATGTATTACGTCGCTCGGGCGGGAGAGCGCTCCTACACGCATCGTGGACATGCACGCCGCCGACCAGAGTTCCAATTGCAGGTGCCGCCAGTTCAAGCAGTGGCATGGATGCCGCACCCGTTGTTGGTATGCACCGACATCTCCAGACTCTCGACCGACGCCATCACAGGGCCACGTTATCGCACCAAAACTCCCCCGCAATGCCATCCTGAAGTACGTGCCTAGCTTTCGCGGTGGCCTGCGCACGTCGTGAATGGACGCGCTAACAACCTCTTCTTTCTCCTACAGAGCCGAGCTTGGTCCGTCTAGCCTAGAAAGTTTTACACGCGATGATGATGCGATTCCCCGACAAGCCAATCGAGGACGAGTCGCCGATGACAAAGACGTTCATCCCGCTTTTTGCGCCGTTATATCCCTGGGCTGAACGTGCAGCGCATTTCCATATCCTGGTTGCCAAATATCCGCCGCAGTCGAGATCGCGAAATGCTGCTCATGGATGGGCTTGCTTCGTCCATAACCTAGGTTAACGAGAGGCTGCTAGCTCCCCCGAACTTGAGATGCGACGACGGTGTTGGATAACGTGCAACTCCAGACGTTCTCGACCGGAATACGACTAGACGATTCTTTGACTGGTCGATTGACTATCAACACTACGACTCCTAGCTACGTCGGTGCACCTGACTACACCCTGGCAAAACTGGCTCTCGGTTGAACCGCTTCGCAATCCAATGGTATCGACGGGACACCGGCTCGCTCGACGACCTACAGTCGCATTCCGCCATCGCATCTGAATCGACGCTAGACAATCCTGGCAGAGACCCAATCTCGGATGAAAACAGGGATGACGTGACTGTACATTGGGCTGATGGCGACCACCAGCAAGGATTCGCGCCTCTCCGAGCCTGAACGACTTCCTCATTTTGTAAGTGATGCTCTGAATCTGCTGCTTCAGGTCGTCCATCGTCTTGCAGCCATTCGACCCCCGCGGCTGGATATTGCCGCCGAACTACTCGTCCTCCTTCTCGACGTCGATTTCAGGATTGTCAACATGCCCGGAGTCAAAGTCTTCAAAGGATGTTGCATCAGCATTTAAGCCGCCTTCAAGACACATCATCGTCAAACACGTCATCACCTTGGTCTTCTAGGGCGAACGAAACATCGGGGCGTAGGCATCGATCCAACGTTGCTGTTTCTTCGACATGCCGCCTATGTGCGTGAAGCAGAGTAGCCGTTGCAGCCTGGCGTGTCAGAGCCGTTGGCCGCTAGGGATGACAAAATAAGCAGGATAAGAGGAAGCCATGATAGCCCATTCCGAGAAGGCGGAGAGGGCCCATCACTCCGCAGACGACCCCCTCGACTCCCCTGGGTATGACGCTGGCGCCACGGCGCGGAGGAATTAGAGCACAAAGAGACGCGATGCCGTACTGCCATACCCTCGTCACCAGCTCGCGATACCAGGAGATAAGCAAGCAATAAATCAACACGTATGAGGATCTGGCTTTCTTCGCCCACGGAACTTGCTAAGTCTATTGTTTCGCCGTGGTTACTGTGGGCTAAGGAGCTGGCCAGCGTAATGATAATAGGTCCGCCGCTTTGGTCCAGGGAATCTCTACCTATATATTTGGATCCCTCTGAGCCTTGCAGAGGACATCCCGCATCCGAGTATACAGTGTTTCATCTCCCTCTTGCCAGTTGTTATCAAACACAACCCTCCGCAACCTGTTGACCCAAGGTAGCAAAGGCTCATAGTAAGGTGTAAAGCATCTGGTCATTTTCTGGATGAAGAATGCATCTTTTGATACGATCCCCGACTTCCATGTTGCCAACAGATCCATGTTCGCATAGTTCCATTGATCGAATTCGTCAACGACCCGGCTCTTCTTTCCTGGACCGTCATAATGTATGCATATCCAGAGCAGTACCCAGAAGAAGGACTCGAGGTCATGTACGAAGCTATGCTGCTCGCCCATGAGCACCCCGATAGCCATGAAAGCCCTCGTACCGATCCTTCCTTTCGCGCCCGACGCGGTTTTCCGATCGGTTGGAATGGCAAGGTCCAAATCAATCAAGAACGAGGGCCAGGAGGGGTTTGCGCTCGCTTCGTCGTTCATCATAAGGTTGTTGATAGAGATATCCCTATGAAGGACGTCGCCTTCGCATAATAATGACTGGTGTCCTTCAATACAGCCCTCTAACGCAGCAAGTAATGCTACGCGAGAGCCAGCTTTATAGATAGGCCGTCCGAAATCGCGGATAATGATACGTCGATGAATGCGATTCAGACCCTGTGTAGCACAGTCGGTTTTAACCAAATGCGAGCAGGATCGTTTACTTGAGGGGAGAGCCGCGCCTGTCTCACTGGACGACCTCTTCTTGCCTGCACTCTGAGCCAGATCTGGGTGTAACCCGTAATTGGAGGCCTTTGTAATATCCAATCCCTTCCGGACACCGCCCTGCACATCGTCGATACTGCCATCCGGGAGGCGAACGGTTTCATGGTGATAATACCTAGCCACATTACGGACGCCCTTCTCGGTCACCTCAGAAAGTAGCTTACCTTCGTCGTGCCATTCGGGGTGTTGCCATGAATCTTTGATGACGAGCGTCGCAGATCGGTCTCTTTCGAGGTGGGCCCTCCAGCATGTAGTTCCCCTACCTGTAATATAAGGAGCTCGTGTCACAACCTCGTCTATTATAATACGTTCCCGTGTCCTATTCCGGATGATCTCGATGCACGAATCGTTATTAGGTGTCATAATGGTAGCGTCAAACCCCATGTCTTGTTCTTTCATCCACAAGAAGCCGAGAATCGTTAATATAAATTGCTGCCCGTCTTCATTAATATCGAACCGCGCCGAAGCGATCCCACCAAGACGGTCGAACTCCCACACGCGCATTAGAGACCCGCAAAGCGTAAAGGCTAAAACGAAGCGCCGGGTATCTTGCGCCGCAAATACTTCCCTCGTATATCTCCCGATATCTTGCCATGCCTTGCTGTGGCTATCTTGTTCCGGGTTACTCTTCAGCTCACCAGGGATAAGAATCTGAGACCAGTGTTTCAAGGCCGCGGGGTGGCTCACGAAGCCGACATCTAGCTTACGCTTCGCCGTTGAGCCCACAAGAGGTTTGTTTGGCTCTGCCACTAACCCTCGTGTTGGTGCCGATGCTGGTATTGGTCTCTGGTCTCGGGCCCAGCGTATGAGTTGTTCGATCAATCCTTGGAGCCAGCTCAGGACAGCAGGCTCCTGGGCATCTTTCGGCCACCCAGTCCATCCTTCGCGGAACATCGGGTTTGAACCCTCACAACACTTCTGGAAGACGATCTTGGATATCCTTTCTAGGTCCGGAACACTACTGAAAAATGTCTCGTGGAACTGTGGGATATCGACGTATAACGGGCCGAGGTCCTCCTTCAGTACCCCGTCTGTATTTTTGCGATATTCTGAAGAATTCACAAGACTGCCCATGTTGCGGGACGATGGTGTCTGTTGGAGATGAGAGGCGATCGATCGGGGTGGTGGGGTGGATTCGGTGACGGCGCGATACACTTGGGCCCAGATCTCCTCGTCAGGTTTCTTGGCAACGACTGCTCTTAAAAGAGGTTTGGTACGGGTAAGATCGAAGTCGCTAGAGGAAATGGCTAGGGTAAGTCTCAGTATGTGGTTGAACAAATTGGTGCCGCCAAACGGAAGCAGACGAGGCAGCTGAAGGGCATTCAATGCTACGAAAAGATCGATAGCGACGTTTCGCAAGTCTAAAAGATAGTTAGGGGAGCACAGCGCGACAAAGACAAAGTCGAGGCTTTTGGGTGTTTACCTTCATCGTTAAGCTGGTTGAGGGCTTCCCCCGAGCAGGGCAGGTCTTTACTCCCGCAGATAGACCTAAACGACAGGAGAAAGCCATCGAGGCCGTTACCGATAGGATTGCTCTTGATGGGCTCGGAACGGTTCTGACTAGCCATGGCAGACGGATTGGGATGGATAAACAGAGGATGATGGGAGAGGATGATGGAGGAAGCAAGAATTATTGATGAACTGCTCTCAGCTTTATGGCGGAGGAATACACAACTAGTACGGAGGTCGCAGACCAGCCCAGCTAGTCCCCTGTACCTTACCCCAAAGCGGCTCAGGGCTTCCTGAAGATTCTATTGGCTCCTTCCAAAACAACCAACCCCACTAACTGGTTAGGATGGGTTTTTTTCGATTACTTAAGCCGCCGCCACCGCCACCACTACCACCATCACCAAGTCACCGACAAGTCAATTGCACCACCACCACCACGACTACAAAGCTAATGTATCGCGGAAGCCTGTCGGGCAACATTTCGTGGCGAAGAAGAATCAATTAAGTGCACGTTCGTACGGTGGTTAGAAATGCGGTTGAAAGGGATTTTTATGAACCCCTGTAAGGAACTGGGATAAAGTTCGGCATAAAGCGGGTTTTTCGCTTAGTCCGGTTAGAGGTTAGCGTAAGGTACAGGGGACTAGTTGGGCTGGTCTGCGACCTCTGCGACTCCGTAAACTACCTAGATACCTACGCCACGTGGGTATGGGGGGAAAGGGCAGTGGCAGTAATGACGTATCCCAGGGGAGATGCATTAGGAAAGAGGGAATGAATGTAGATATGTAGGTACCTAGCCTCAAATCCAAACCTGTGAAGAAGCGAGGCCCATCAGGGAAGCAGAGACTCGTGCATTAGAAAGCACTCTTCGGGGTTGCCCACCTCAAGATCAAATATTGCTATCAGGGGGATGGGGGAGTCGGCACGGGTTCCATCAGCGAGAAGAACCTACTGTCGATCTCATGTACGCTGCGAGGCCGGAGGAACGCATGGATTGTATCTGTGGAAACCACGAATTACGGAGGATCGCATGATCCAGTCATGAGGGGGGTAACGGTGATGGAAGTATGCCATGAAAATTGCAAGAGAGTATCGGTTCAACGGAAGCAGATGAGAAGTTACTACCTAGACTGGCCTGTGGCGCGACCCTCTAGCCGGCCCAGGAATATTTCGCGAAACAAGTAGTAGGGCATTTTGTAAAGCGACACTGATATGTAGGTTCTTAGGATCTATGGCCGGGGGGGCGTCACACCACGGTAGCTCTCAGTTAACCTCCGCGCTACTGTGGTAAGGCAACGCCACTGACGCAACTAATCTAGCCGTGCAGTAACCGAGAATGATGTTCGCACGTAGTCACTCAGTGAAGATACGGGTGGAATCAGATTTATCGTTAAACATCCCTACCTACCGACGAAATTATAGGGTTTTTTACGCACGAAACCGGCCCTTATAGGCCTACGTCTGCAGGTAATAAAATGTAGACGTCTAAGTTTTCCGCGACAGGGTTATAGTACCTATGACGTGTAGAAAACCTATATGCGTAGACCCATATACCCTAAATAGAAAGGGTAGGTAGAAGCCTACGTTATCACATTGCTATATAGCATACAGTTTCACAACCAGATCAGCATCGAAGCAAAGTGGGAGTGAAAAGTGGCTGCCTTATAAGGTATTAAACGAAAAAGGTAGACGTGGAGATCTCCCTCCTAGGGTATATAAGGTCATACAAAATATCAAGTGCGATTCCTTGCGTGACATGAAAGATAGACTAATATATTGGTAGGCTGACCGCGGGTGCTTCTCATGTTTCTACGAAGTCGATCCCTACAGGGGACGGCACGTAGGTACGTTCGCGTAGGCAAAGAGGTACGAACCATTTACGTGTCATCAAAGAGGACATACAACTCACTATATGAGTACCGTGTCTCTTACCTTAGTACCTACAACGTTTCCTCAATACGCCACCTAGTCTAGGAATATCAGCTCGGTAGGTGGATTAATAATTCACCTTACCGAAGTCAAAGAGTGGAAGGAAGGTTACAGCGAGGGCGATAGAACTAGATCGAATCCAGGATTTTATTTCCGATATCGATACGCCTGATACCAGTGGCCGCAGGTGGGAAGGCTAGGTTGGAGCGCAGGTGAAGGGGGGTTTAGCAAGCATGCTATCAACTGGAAAATGGTGACCCGGGTTCGGGTCTATTGTTAGTCTCCTTGATGTTAGTCTCCTTGAGTGAAGAAGTCTGCTAAGCTTGCCCGGCGAGGAAGCTGTTGCAAGCGCCCTGGGGAAGCGATCATGCCTTCGTTATAGGACGTTTCACATGTGACTTGCACAGCCTTGCTGCCTATCTTCAGGACCGGGTGGGTGTAACTGAAAATCGGGACGAGGACCCTGGCCGGTGACGCTGCCGACGGGATGGGAAGCATCACCAGACCTTAGGCACCCAGTTACTTTTCTCGGGCAAACGGGATACTCGGCGATGACGACTAACAGACACCGGGGCTTCTGATCGGGGAAAAAGGTGGTGGTTGCCAAGGATCTCAGCCTACCGGTGGCAGACCTAACAGAGGTTCTGCGGCAACGAAGCGATTCGGGTTAGCGTAGGACTGCAGAGGGAGGGAGCCAGTAGGGAAGACTCACGCCGCAGCGAACCTAGGCCGCGACCTTTCCTAGATCGAAAAGTGGTATGCATATGTTCCAGGTAGATGTTATGCCAAGACCGCGGAGTAGAGGGAGCTTGTTGGAACGGGTTCTGCTAGCGTCTAGCGCGCGGTTGAACCTCCGTCATGAGACGCCTTCCAATAATAAGAGGCGACCCTCTACTAAGTGGATGCCACGACCACACAAGTAATATTGGGGATTGTACACTTCTGCCGGAGAAGTGACTCATGGGATGTAGGAGAAAGCCGCCTGGTGTCGACATAAGGCCGGGTTTTAGCAGGCCTCGGCTATTAGAGGTTCTGGCGATAGATTGTCTTGGGCGGCGGTTGTGGTGTGCTTCGGTTCGCGACGTGAGCTGTGGGTCATACGAGCGGCTTCCAACAACACTCATAACACGTTATCGCGAGGATGTCTGACGGCGAATCGCCTCTGGTATTGCGCAGTGACCTTTCTGTCGATAGGTTGGATAATTATCTCAGCCTCCCGAGACCTACTTACGAAGCCATTTGGTCCACACATCCCGCGCGGTAGGTATCGTGGCTGTATCCTTCACGATTGAACGACGTTCTATCGCAGCCGCCGATCGCCGCACCGCGCCCCCAACCTGGGGGATGCCGACGAGGGAGAGGGTGCTCGGCCCGCTGCACTGATCGATGGAAAGGCTGCGGGCACGCCAGACAAGCTAAAGCATACGGGGTTAGCGAAGGTAGAGAGAGGCGTCCGTCCTGCAGCACACCCGCGATGCTTTGCTGCTGGCTGGAGAGCCCATATCTGCCAAGAGAATTGGGGGCCGGAGCTCCCGTAGGTATCCCCGAAAGTGCGTTTTCGCTGGCCAGGCTCCAGATGGCGTCTGACGTGGAATCACACGGCAATGGGGCTGTCTAAGCCCTCTTCGTGTTTGTCTCTGGTGGTATGCTGTCTTCCCGTCGCCATCGTCGCCGCCGTCCCGGACATTTCGTCTGCAGTTTGTTAGCATATTTACACTTGTGCTAGGAACTGCCCGATTGAGAATTTGAGCCTCCTTGTCCGTGGCGGCGCCCACGTGATAGGTAGGGCATTCTGGCGGGCGGTTGGACACAGCCACATGTCGGACCGTAGCTCAGCCCCACCCCATATGCGGCCAGAGTCTGCTGCAAAACAACCTGAGAATCAAGCGTTTCGACCTGTAGAGCTTTTAGGGCTTTTAGAGCTTCCTACGGGCTGGATAGAATAGTCTGCCTTGTAGGGCTGACCCGCCAACACTTACCTTGCCTCTGTTTCGCGTTTCACTCTTTTTTTTTTAGTCTTTTTTCCCCCCTCCTTCTGACCCTTCGTTTCTTTTTCGCCTTCCCCCATTATCGTGACGACTAGATGTTGGGAACTACTTTGCCCACCACAACTCGTCCGTACCTAGCGGTTTTCAGGCATCTGTCGGCTGCCTCTCGCGCATCCCATCGCCGTCCTTCTGTCTTCTTGCTCAATTTGGGGGCCATAGATCCTCGTCTTCGGCTTGACCTGTTCGTGGGCTTAGGCAGGAGGCAGGCAGGCTACGAAGTGTTGCAGGTGGGCAGGCGTGTTTTCCGTCCTGGGTTGTGTGGGCCGTGACATACGCGTAGACGCAATCGATAGTTTCCGTGTTCTCTAGGTGTAAGCGAATTCGTGGCCCATTTGTCATGTGCATACCGCCAGAGAGTTGCTCTCTGGTCAAACTTGTAATCTTATGCAAAAAGCTGACGTACCCCTACCGTCTTTCGTAATAGAAGCAATGCGTCAGCTCCCCCTGTTCCTTTCTTACCCTCCTCCATTACTGGCTGTTCAGGGGAGGAGGGGGCGCATTGTAGGACTTTGCACCAGTGGTCGGCGGCCAAGTCGACATAAATGTGCACTATTCCACACTGTTCAGGGTTATTATGCTCATGCGTTTTTCTGTTTGATTTCAGGTGTGCAAGTGCACAAATTTTGGTTTCTGGTGCGTATCGGAAATAAGGACAGAGAGACGTAAGTATCTAGCAAAATTTTCTTTCTTTTTTGGAAAGTCCGGAAGCGAGAATTGGGCATCGACAAGCGGCGCCGAGGTGCAATCCTTCATCATGCAACAGACGCTGTCGAGCTTAGCTGACCCGAGTTGTCCCGTTGGCGTCTTCCCCCTTCGTCCACCCCTCCTTAGGTTTAGTACGGAGAGAGACAGACCGGATTTATCGAGCCAGTGAAAGTACCAACCTACATTTGCGACTGGATACCTACCTAGGTAGCCATCTTGTTTTTTTCGGTGCCTAGATTCCCCCCCTTCTCTGATGCGGATGACGGTGCCAGGAGTGCATAGTTTGCTCCATGCGCGGGGGCCTGGGGTAGAGATAGGCATACGCGTGATAGAATATGTAGGTAGAAGCAATGGGGAAGAGAGGGGGTTTGGTCCGGATCTGCGATGCACTCGGCGATGACTCTTTTTCCACTTCTCCACGCGCTTCGAAGCTCTAGGTTTCGCCAAAACAGCACCATCTAGCAACTGACCAATTTTGCACGGCGGTGTCTCCGTAAAAGTGTAGTTTCTCTTGCACAAGGATACGTGTTCATAGGAAGCCCCGAGGGCCTCGATCCCATTCAACCACTGGTGACGGGCAATTGGTGATTGAAGCTAGAGACGTGTGTGCCTCTTCATCAACGGTCTGTGGCTGCGATCTGAGAAGCTACCCAGGGTCCTGGGGCCTTGCAGCGTGCGGAAAGGCTATGCCCTCCGCATATCGAGCACCAAATCACGGCGAGGACGAGAAAACGCTGTAACCCACTTGGAGTAGACGAGTGCATCGTAGCGGCCGGAAATCCTCTGCAAGTCACATCTGTTCGCATTGGTAGGCACATACGCTGCTAGCCTACCTAGGTCAGGCACTTCTTCACCACATAGCGGGTAGACGGGACGGAGGGGTTTGCGAAGAGACTCGTAGTGGTTAGTAGCAATGGCAAGTAGAAAGAATTCGGTTCGCCGGCCGTAGTAGTACGGCATCGCGCATCTTTACTCCCGCTCCGACGGCAGCACTTCCCCCTTACGTTTCCGAGAGCCACTCCTCCCTGATCTCGTCTCCCAACTCGCCATTTCCTTTCTTGAATTTGCCTGAGGATGATTTCCATGCTATTCCTATTCGACCGGGTGTAGGCATCGGCGCTAGACTCCTAGGCTTGTGAGCACAAAGCGTCCAGTGTTTGCGCGTTACGATTCCTTCGGGTTGCCTCCGCGCACATGCGGCAGGCCTCAAGTCGCTTTGCGAAAGCGCTCTGAGTGGCTGAGGCGGTCGCTCCAGTCGGGGCCCTCACGGAGACTCTTGCGCGGTTGATCTTGTATGTATGGGAGGTATACGTTATAGTGGTAGGACGGGGGTGTGTAAACTACACGCCCAGGCACACACCCTCCCACACATGCCCCGTCCATCTTCACCCTACCTAGTACGGTCACCCGTCTCCCTAGGCCAAACTCCGCCTCCATGGCTGTGTGATGATTATTGGCCTCCCAAAAAACACACCATACCTTTCTAGTGTGGTCCCGGACGGGAGAATGATTCATCGGTCCTGGTAGGCACCCAGGACGGACATGGGTTAAAGGGGGGATGGGCCGGATCCCTGTCCGATTTCTACACCAGGGGGGAGAAAAAAAAAAAAGAATAACGAAAAGTCCTGACGGATCGCCTTTCATTTAAAGGCACTGACTGTCCCTACATCCTATCACCGGTTCCCCTTTGCTTTGCGCTTCTAACCACCACGATACACTTGCTTGTCTAGCAAGAATACCCGGAATTTGGATACAACCACCTAAGTACCAGTTGTTAAGAGAGACCTACAAATACTTCGACCTCCCACACTCTGCTCTTACCCAGATGTCATGTCTCTAGAGCCAGAAGTTGAAAACCGAATCGACCGTACTGTATCTGACACCGCCGACTGACACCGTCGCATTGGCTTCCTACCCCAGAGTCATCATCAACAACACTATCCACAGCCAGAAGCGCTTGCGCGAATTGTCCCTGGCTGAGACACCCCTAATCCAAGTTACTGCGCCGACGGGATCGCATTCCATCCGCAGCCCCCGAGCGCATCGCCCGCGGCCTCTAATTATCCAACCCAACCCGCCGCGCATCAGTCGCACCGACACCTCACCACCAACCACGATGTGCAACAAGGCTATCTTCTCCTACGTCTACGCCGATGGGCGCAGGGTGGACGAGGTTCAGCAAGAGCTATGCGACGAGTCGCGCCATGGCCAGCCGTGCAAGCTCACGAAGACATATCAGCATCCTACCGAGTACCTTCGCCCCGGCCAGCTAAACCCGACGCCGTCCTATGGCTTCAGCCAATTCCCACCCACCCCGCCAATGTCGTCTCACTCCGGGTCTACCTCGGACTCGGAGCGCTCATCCAAGTCGCGACGTTCGGTCTACGTCAGCGGCGAGAAGGTCGTCGACCTGAACAGGCGGCCGTCGCGCCGCGAAAAGGGCGAGCGCACGATCTATGTGGAGAGCCCATCGCTCTCGCGCGCACCAGCCCGCAAGTACAGCGTGTCGCATAGCCCGGTTTCCAGCGTCCGCGATAGAGATCTCGGCAGCCCAGAATCCCGACACCGTTCCACATCCGGCGAGCGCGACCGCTCCAGTTCCACCTCCTCGCGCCACGGGCGAAGCATCGAAGTCAAGGTGATCAACGAGCCGCGACGCGACGAGCACCGAAGGAATGGTTCCAAGACGAGCTCCCAGGGAGACCACGACGATGACGATGAGCGCAAGGAGCGTCGCAGAAGCAGCCATGTCCGGTTTGAGGACGACGAAAAGCAGAGGCAGATTCAATCCAAGATCGAACAGGCCAACGAGGCCATCGCCAATCGACCTGTCATCCTCCCGACCACAAAAGCGCTACCAGCACCATCACGGTACCGCCGAGGCTCAGTAGTGGTAGAGCGGTCCAACACCGCCTTGGTAGCCGCTATGGACCACCTCAGCCTCGATCGGGAGAGAAGGCGAAACGAGAAGCGCGCGGCAGACATCCGACAGAAGGAGGAGGAGGCGCAGAGGCAGAGGCTCAGAGACCGGATGGCACCCGAGCGCATGGCACCTAGGCGCCGGGCCACTGTCAGCCAGGACCCTGGGCGACAGATGATACAGTTCAACGATGCGCCATACTATGTTCGGTAAACCAACAACCAACAACCAAAAAAAATTACAAAAAAGAAACAAAAAAAAACACCATCATCGTGCATCATTATCATTATCATTATCACCAACCAAGGGCATATTCTCATGAGGGCTATCATATTAAGGACATGGTTTACAAGAGCAGGCGTTGATTGGATAATACCTAGTTACTGTGGTTATTATATACGGGGGGTTTTTTTTAGTCTCTTACTCTTCTGTTCCCACTTCTGTCTTTCAGGGTCTTCCTTGTCGAGATGGAATGGACTGATGTTTACTGTATTGTGTTCAACGCCTGTACTGGATGGTATCACTCATGGGATGGCCCGGCTGGGTACACCGCCCTTGCTTTGCGGGATTTTGGGGGTCTCATTAGATGCGAATTTTCCTACAAACAAAAAGGAAGAGAAAATATTTCTTGTCCTCGGCTTTTCATTATTCTGCACTTTTCCCTCTCGACACCTGCTTCAACACATTGCCCCCCATCCCGATTACCACTTACATGTATCAACTGTTATGTAAACCACGTTAGGACTCTGATACCCCATAGTTGTAGGCTAGCTACGTAGCGAATTCAGGAGAGACGCATCCAATAGACTTTTCGCATACCAGCCAGGTCTTCGTCCGGGCAACATACAGACTTGTTGTTATTGTCCATCGCCCGTGTGACAAACAAGTCAACGGCATTTACCAAGACGGGGCCGCCTGGGCAACAGAACAGACGAGAATGCGACAGCCACCAGGAGACTACCCACCACTAGGACGAGGCGAGACGAGAGCCAAAAAGGCCGAGAGAGGAAAGATTTGAGGGAAAAGAAGGAGACGAAGGAAAAAAAAAAAAAGAAAAGAGGGAGGGGGGATGTAACCCCGCGGTTCCGCGGGGCACACCTTTCCATCCTCCCTATTTCCCCTTCCCCCCTCCCCTATCTTCCCACCCTCTCGCCCTTCCAGCCGGTCAGATCTCCTCGCTTCCCTTTCTACCCAACTCCAAATTTACGACTTACGATATCTTGGCCGCCGTTGATGCCTGATTGGACCCTCCCTGGTCTTCCGTCTTCCGTTCCCGACCGAATGATCATCCCCATTCGTCATATTTTCTCTCTCGCACCATCGTGCGCACTATTACAAGGGGCCGCGCCAGACTGCCTACCTAGGTAGGTACCAGGTAGTCAGCGATCGGCTTCTCTGCATATTTGACAGATCCCTCACCTCGGGTCCTGTGCGGAATAGCGGTTTCGTTTCTTCTTCTACTCTACACATGCTGCTCGCTTCTCTTTCCCTGGTATTTTTGTCTCTCTTCTTCTACGTACGCCCCCCCTCCTTCTCTCGCCTCTGATCCTCGGCCTTCCGACCCATGGCGTCCGGTCCATGTGTGCGCGTACACCCCCCCCGTTTCCATCGTGCAATTTGAAATATCCCATCGTGTCATAAATATGATACGCGTCCTTGCGATCTATTGGCCCATGATGCGCACGCCTACATTGTGCTAGATTAGGCAGATCTAGCACTTATGCGGGTAGCAGAGACCAATTACCCCATCGTCGGGGACGGTAAGGTAAACATTCTCGCCGGCATACTGTTATGTACTAGTGTCTATGGCTATCATCCGAGGTTATCGAGTCTCTACGGCGGTTGGTGGGTCACCGCTCGCATACCCGCGATAGTTACCTGCCCACCTGCCCACCGGTCTGCCCCTCCACAGCTTACCTGCCCATAGGCTACCTATGAAAGCGGTCTCAGGCGGGAAATGGACTGAGACGGGCAGCCTAAACATTGGGACGGGATGTGTGATATTGCTAGGGTTATTCCCGCGTCACATTCCGGTTCGACGACCCCGTTTGGTTTCTGTATTCGAATTTGGACTTGGCGTCCCTTCTATACCTCTCATATTGATGACAATGCTCATGGTCATCATAGTCATCAAGAGGTAGGTGGGAAGAGTTATCAGTCGGCAAAAGGAGCGGACTATCGAATCGATCTTTTCACTATATGGGCAGCCAGTTGCCGGGTTCTCATCAGAGCTTAGAAGAGCGCAGCGCTCTCCTAAGCTATTAACATGTGCCTCATTACTTCTCGATCGTTGCCTGGTTGGAACACACACACGCACGCACACTGCGTTGCTCTTTTCAATATTCTCACCAGTCAGCGATATATCGCACCTCTTGACTTGAGATATGGAACAAGATGAAAAATTTGTCAAGATGATGATATATCGTACACCCATAACGCGCGCGCGCGCGCACCCATAACACGCACACCCATCCATCACACACCACACACCCTTTCGCCTGCGCACCCACCCTCTCGCTAGGTGGGAAGCATCACTGCCGTGTCTCTCCTCCATCGTACCACACCCAGCCCACAGAACCATGTCAGGAAGATACAAAGAGCGATAGTTACCGCGTCCCGTGGCTTGTCGTTCCACCCACACCTGCGCACACCTACCTTACGTATTCGCCCAGGAGGGTGTGTGGCGCACACCACACCGGCGAAAACAGAATCAACCGTCGAAGAAGTGGCCGCCGGTCTCGGTTGGTCGGACTATGACGCATCGCTAGCTCGCATCGTGTCTAGGCACGCAGTTACATAGTAACCTTGCCTACCCGCCCGCACGAGTGCGCATGGATAGGCATACCGACACATGTACAGGCAGAAAGTCCACGGGAGGGCTGGGCCACGAGATCAGACGAGCGTCCCCGTCGTATGCGGGGATGTGGAGATGGGTGAAGACATTCGCTCGGAGGGGGGTGTATAGGGTGCAGTGGGTGGTTCCCGTTGAGACATGCATCTCTCCGTCGAGTCATGCCGAGCATCGCCGTGCATGCAACCCCTACTACTATACTCTCGAAGACCGTGTCTATCGAGATGCTAGTCGACTGATTTGTCGTGAGTCAACGGTGAAGCAATGCGAATAGAGAGTTGCTAAGAAGAGGGTTTATAATGCACTGGAACTAGTGCGCCAACCCGGATCATGCACTTGTTTTCTGTCTATATGGTGATGGATTCAACAGGTATCCTCGATAAGGGAAAGCATGCCCTTTTTTTTTATAGACAAAAGTCACTCTCCCGGCTTCTTGCGCTCTGCAAGCACCCCGGCCTACTACCACTATAGTCTAGCCTCCATCGTTGACACCTTTCTCTATGGATTTCCGTTCGCGACGCACACAGACCCGTTACGATTACTTACTCATATTACTACCTATGTGTCGCAAAAATGTAGATGTTTACATTTCCCCACCGTATACGTAGTCTTAAACAGATGGGTTTTCTACGCGGCACCCCCAGTTGATAACTGCTTTATGACAAGTATCTAGCAACTGCAGAAGTCTCAAGCACGCATCACTCTCTTTAATTGTTAATACCAGCTCTCATCTCTCGGGTAAAGTGCCATCGCCTCCGTCTCTTTCATTCCTATGTACTGTAGCTCGAGTGGAGCCATCCCCATCTTACCGCAGAGGGGCCTCACTGCTAGATCTAGTCTAGCTCTGGGGCATTCAAACGGGGGATTTTCGACCCAGACTTGGAGTGCTGACCAGATCTACAGCGGATACGTGAAAACATACACACCTACGGCTTCCGGTTGGGGGTTTTCCATGTAAGTCTCTGTGCAACGGTTGGGTGTCCCGCCCTATATGCGACTGGCCTATAGCCTTATTAACAAAAAATAGGTATGCGAAAAATATTGGAGGTAGACTCGACGGGCGAATCGTATAGATGATTATTATTAGATAGCATATGGGGAAGGATCTCTATTCTGGGCGACGTTCCCGACCTTCAGGGCTGTAAGCTTTCACATAGCTACCTAGGGATCATACTACTACCAATGCGCACGGAACAATCCAGATTCACTTACGTCAAACACGACGACGACGACGACGACGAGCCTATAGGAGTAAGATTAATAACAGCACAACAGCTCAGCAGCATCGTGCCAAAAAAAGCTGGCGCCTCTATTGGCTCTGAGGACGCACCCATCCAAGGCTACGTCCCAGCTGTGTCAGGAGTTGAAAATAAGCAGTCATGGGCTGGTTTGTGATTATGTGGACCAATCGTCAAATCGACCTGGTAATAATCAATCACAAACCTGTCTTCTTCACCTAGTTAGTCCAAATCCCTCCCTGCCAAGAGTTCACAGCCCTGCGATTCATAGCACAGGATTCAGCCGCATACGAGGGCGCGCGGCGACTACAAGAGTCTAGTTCAATTCGCGAGGAACGTCGGCGGCGCGTCCTGAGTGGCGGCAACATTTAACCTACCTACCTCTCTGCTCGGATCTTGTGGGAATGCGGGCGGCGCTCTTGTTGGATGTCTAGCGAGAATACCCAAGGGTTCACGGACGGCAGCATATGCAACCTCAGTAGTGGCGCGGTCTATCGTGAGGATAGATTGCGCTAGTCTGTACGCGGAACGAGTCATTTTCGCCTTTCTCGACGTGCCTCGCGCGGATAGGATGGCGTCCCCAGGGTCCGAAAGCCGGGCCAAAGTCTGCTCGGTGTGTGACAAGATCCTCTGGTTCGACCTGCAGCCCGAGGATGTGTACGGGACACCCCACCACACCACCCGGCGCGCGCTGGAGGTGTCCGCCAAGTCGTGCCGGCTGTGCGGCATGGTGCTGCGTGCCGCGGTAGCGAACTACCAGGACTCGCGGGGGCGGCGGCACGGCAAGGGCTACTGGAGGCAGTTCAACGCCATCAAGTACCACAGCGGCGCCACCGTGACCGACATCACCTACGTCAAGGAGATGGGCTCATGCCTGCCGGCGACATCAACGGACTACAACAACAACGCCGTCGGACGCGCCGTCCTGGGTGCCACGGGAAATATCACCGCCGACGGCGGGCACGTAAGCGACGAAAGAGAGGTGCCCAACCTCGAGGCACTGACAGTCAAGGAGGACGAGAGCGCGGACATGCCCGTATGGCTCTACGGTAACTGGTGGGCCGAGAAGGAGCCGAGCGGCCCGGACGACACCTCGCATCTGCGATTGATGGGTGTGGGCGCTCGCTTCGGAAAGACCCAGAGCATATCTGACGCCCTGAACTGTAGGCCGAATCAGATCCACCTGCGCGGAAGCTACCTGGGGATATGCGCGAGCGACGGTGAGCAAAAGCACGGGGTGGTCGGCCTGTGATATCATCAGTACTAACTCGCTGACCGCCTTCACAGACAGCCTGTTTGAGAGGATACCAGGCCGCCTGCGCGAGGCAAATTCGGACTCCGAGCGCGCGATCGGCCGCCTCGAGATGTGGCTGCAGGACTGTGCTACCAGCCATCCCTTCTGCGGACCTCCCCAGCTCAACACCCCGCTCCCCACGCGGGTCATCGACGTGTTCGCGCACGAGCGCAAGGTGTCCGTGACGGAGACCCGAGGCCAGAAGGGTAGGTATGTGACGCTGAGCCACTGCTGGGGCACGTCGTCGCGGCTGATGGCGACCAAGTCATCGATCCGGGATCTCGAGGACGGCATCGCCGTGTCGTTTCTGCCGAAGACTTTCCAGGACGCGATCCAGATCACGCGGCGCCTTGGCGTCCCGTATCTCTGGGTTGATTGCCTGTGCATCATCCAGGATGATCCCGATGACTGGGAGCGCGAGGCGGCCGCGATGAGCAGGGTCTACCGCAATTCGTACTTGACGATATCCGCGGCGGCGTCGAGAGACAGCTATACCGGCTGTTTCCCGAAGCGCGAGTCGAACGGGTACGTCTCGCCCGCCAACGTCTCGCTAGGGTACGCTGTGCCGCGGGAGGCTACGGGGCCGAGGAGCCAGTCCCTCGCGTACCAGCACACGTCGCACCCGGGCCGGTCGAACGCGATCTACCTGTTCGAGGAATGGCTGCCGGGGTCTAGCTTCCACTTCCCGCAGCGAATGGAGATCGGCTCGTTCGGTAAGCGCTTCGACCCCATCGCCGAGGAGCCTCTCAGCACGCGTGCGTGGACCCTCCAGGAGCGGCTGCTGTCGCCGCGTCTCGTCCATTACGCGCGCGACCAGATGTACTTCGAGTGCGAGACGTGCCTGCGATCCGAGGACGGCTTCACGTTCCGGGACATCTTCTTTGGGATGAAGCGCCTGCTACAGACGCAACTCATACCCCACGCGCAGCACGGGCTCTCGCCGTCGTCCGGCCTCTCCTTCATCGTCGGCCAAGACACCGGCGGCAAGAGCCCCGGCGTCCGGTGGCAGGGCGGCTGGCTGTCGCTGATAGAGAACTACACAATGCGCCACTTGACCGTATCCCAGGACAAGCTGACTGCGCTAGCCGGCGTCGCGAGGGCCATCGCCGAGGAGACAGGGGACCGCTATTTCGCCGGGCTATGGGCGAAGCACTTTCTCGAAGACCTCTGCTGGAGGACATACCCCCAGGAGGAGATCGACGACCGCCGGGATTCCAAGATAACGCCGAAGCTAGGTAAGCTTCTAGGGACCGTCCGTAAGCCCGCCACGTATCGAGCGCCTAGTTGGTCCTGGGCCTCTCTCGATGGGCCCATCAGACATATTGCGCTATCCTATAGTAAGCTAGTAGCTAAACTTATCAACTGCTCGACTGTCCCGGCGGGAAAGGACCCGTACGGACGAGTGTCGGGTGGAAAACTGGGTATCCAGGTAAGTCTAAGGCTCCTGATGGATTTGATCGTCCCCCTATCAGCTGATGCCGTCTCTTCTCCAGGGGCCGATCTATCAGGTCAAGCCGCACGAGCTGAAGAGACGATGGGATCGGCACGGCATCCCAGTGGAGATCGACTTGGAGGATGAGCGCGGCATATCAGTAGGTGCGCTGCACCTGGACGTGCCGGGGGAGGAGATCCCTTACCCGTGCTTCGCGCTCTTCCTCGATCCCGCGAAGGCGCTGATCCTGCGGGCGAAGGAGCTCGAACCCAAGCAGAACGACGACGGGACGACGGACCCGCAGACGCTGGTCCCCAAGCCCATCCTCACGACGTCCGACGTCAACCGCAACATCGCGCGGAGCCCGCACATGAAGAACCTCACGTTCCAGGCCCTCTTCGACGCCGTCCGCATCGGCGTCGCAGTCTTCGTCAAGGGCTCCGCCGACAACCGCAATAAACCCGAAACTGAGGACAAGGAACCGGAGCTGTGGGATGAGGCGAAGCACGGTAAGCTGACCCTGGACAAGCTTACACATATCTCCGGCGATGGATCTTGGGGACCCGTTACGAAGGATGACGCCAAGGTATGGGTTACTATTGTCTGATTCTTCGTTGATTTGCGAGCACGTGTGTTGCGTGGGAGGACACCCCCCCCCGGGGGCGCCTCGACGAGTAGATACAAGCTAGTCTTTCGACACGGTTTGTAAATGCCACGCAAGCTACCAGGGAGTTGAGATAGGGGGCGGCCAAGACCATTTAGGGCGTTGATGGTTGAAACTCCGTGGTGCGGAGCTAAACGTACACGGGTAGTATGATTAAATAATGTAGCATGCTAGACAAGACGCATGGAACGGTTCCGTGCATGGACGAGCGTCCTTCCGTAGCATCCAACGTACTATTATTTCCTATCCATCCTCACCGTATGCCCTACGTCACCTACGCCAGACTCGAAAGAGCGGCGACAGAGGAAAAATGGGCGCAGATAAGTGGTATTAATAATCGATATTGCTATTATTGGATTTTTGGGAACATGGCATCACGTTTAACAGGCCGTCGCAATACCAGTGCCTACCGTTGTTCTCACATTCTAATACGAGGGGTGTGATATATGGGTGAGTGTATAACTATCACTCTTCCGACACCCTCCATATGAGTTTCTTTCCGCTTACTCCCTTCCGTACTAGATTCAACGCATTTGTCGCTCTCTCGAGCAGATCTCGTCCCTCGACCACCTGGAAGGGGAGTGGGACTAGGTGGCCTTCGGCTAACAACTGAGGCATGATCTCGGGGAGTAATCTATCCCTAAAAAACTCGTTCTAGTTCACCATCTAGTTAGTCTGCCGGTACTAAGCCACAGGGCGGACGAGCCGCCCAAGGGGGAGAGAAAGGAGAGGGGAAGGGGAGAGAGGAGGTCAATCTGCATACTTTCCAGAATAAAAATGTTCGTACTCCGTGCACCGTAACGCCCTCGGCCCACTGAGCGCTCGCCTCCACACCCTCCATCAAGAACTCTGGCGTCTCTTCATCCGTGGCGTGCTTCACTATAACAGGTAGCATGACCGCAACTGTGGCGCCGCTCCCGGCGAGCTTACTTACCGGGGCGACGGAGCCGGCCTGAGAGCCGATGCAGTCGACAATCAGCGGAAAAGCAGGTCCGTCGCCCTGCTGGTGGGCCCGCAGAATGTCTTGGATCACAGTTGGGCTTTTGTAATCGAAGCAGCTCTCGACGCCCAGTTTCTTCAGTAACTCATGATTGTGCGGAGAGGCCGTCCCGACTATGTGGCGGTACCCGTAGTACTTCAGCACCTGTATGAGTACTTGTCCGACACAAGACGCGGCGCCCCAGATCAAGATGCGCTCGTCAGCTCTTGGTGGGATGTAGTCCTGGGGCTTCGGCCAGGGCGCGGGCAATCGCAAGTCAGTCACAAGTGTGTTGAACGCCGTCGCCAGGTCTTCGGTCACCGTTACCGCCTGCTGCATTGTGAGGGTGTCTGGGAACTGCGAAGCTACCGTTAGCCTTGACGCCCAAGTCTGCGAACGGCGCGGAATCGTCGCGCCGTGTCTGTCGACCTGCCTTGCCGAAGACCCACTCGGGAGCTGTCGAGTATTCCTGGTGGGCTTTCCATTGGGGCTGCTGGTGCGCAAACCCGACGACGGCGTCGCCAACTCGGAAATGCTTCACGTCGGGGCCGACTTCGACGACCACACCGGCCGGCGACAATCCGGGCCGGAATGGGGGCTCGACTAGCAGGCCGCCGTCTGCCTGGTGAAGGTCGAACGGCGTGGACGTCGTCCACTGGACGCGGACCTTCACTTCGTTGCCCGTAGGCGTTATCGTGGGGTACTGGCGAACCTCGTACGGGGCTCGCGGCGCGACGATGACCAGTGCATTGTGCGTCGGTATCTCCATTGGCGGAAGTAGCACGGGTATACAGTCTACGACGATGTACGTGCGGGGGCGTCGGCTTAGGTAGCCGTGTTAGAGACAACCGCGCATAGGAGAAGACGAGGTTAAATAACACCCTACCTTTAGATAGGTAGGTAGGTATGTGCAACACCTGCGCGGTGATGTCGTGCATTCTGCTACGTGATCGACCTGCTGACAAATGGAGGCCGTTTTCTAAGAAGATCCATGGCCTGCGGAGATTTATAATGACACTACCACATCGTGAAACCCGCATCGAGTAATTCCCCGAATAGCTGCATCGTCGCCAAGGGCGGGAGCAGCTCGCGACTAACCGACCAGACGCGACACGGTCTTACATTAGTCACAGGCTAATATGGGTGCCCACATAGCCGGCCAAGCTGGCCGAGACCGGCACGTGCCGTTCGACACGTCCTATAACGGGAGAAGTCTGGCGCTACGTTGAATGTCGTAGGTATGGTCGATGGTGATGGTGGTGATAGCCTAGTCTTGAATCCCCTATTGTTGGGTATAATTGTGACAACACAAATACTACGTTCCGAAGCTTGTTTATATAAGCGAGTTCGCTCATGTAGGTGGGCATATTGTACGTAGTACGGCAGATGCTGCTTTTCGTCACGGATATAATCGTTCCTAATCGGGAGCGACGCCCAACAAATGCTTTATCGGTGAGATTTGAAATAGATCATTCTTTTCCTTCTACTGTAACGCTGATGTTTCCCATGTTATCCGTCAGGGAGCAGTTGAGCCTCATGTAGCTCTATAATAGAGCCACAGCCGGGGGCTGGTATTGGTACCTACTAGGCTGCTTAGCTATAATAGATGTTAAAGGTAGGTAGGTAAATTAATAGAGCTAGGACTGCATCCATTCAAATCTCCCAGCCAGCTTTGACGGTTAACTGCCCATTACATTACTGTCTAATACCTGTTCCACGCTGCGTGGATCCAACCCCACACTACACGATCCATGGCCATCATTGATGATACCTCCTTGTTTTGTTATGAACTTGAACCCACGCACAGATGTTGGGTAGCAAAGCTCGTTGGTTCATGTCATGACGCCTTCAATATACCATCACACGGCCTAGCTACTCCATCAGATGTGCATCGGGATATCGGTTGCTGGCCAGTTCGGCCAATGCCGGATCCCAGTTCTGGGATCTGCCGTCATGTGGCCGCCTTTGTAGGCCTGCGTAACCAAATGTCGAAGTCTAGGCACATTTTTACGTGGCATTATACCTACTTTATAAACGCTACCTAAGTTGCAGTGCAGAAGCAATTAAACGATAGCACTGAACTATTTCCGTTTCGTTATGTCAGACTTATCCTCTCCCTAAATGTAACATGATCCCAGGAGGAGGACTAAGTCGTCGCAGGAGAACAAGAAAAGAGGGTTATATAGCAACGCGATAAGAACAATAATGAAGTAGAGGGGGTGCGATGCTGGAGGATAGTGGACGAGGTATAGATGCAGTATATTGGTATAATTCCGGCCCAGTGCGGGTCCCAATCTACCTATATTATTGTAGTCTCCTTTTCCTCTCATCTTGTATCTAACTAGAACACCCTATCTCATTTCGACTTACCGCAGTCTTGGGGCTAACCGGCAAACATCGCCCATCGCTCTCCCACACGGATCCTGTTACTTCAGGGCGACTCCACAAGCCATGATTGTCCCCTCCCTCACATGTAGCTCATTATTTCACTATGCGCCATATCGTCAGCGGTTTATGCCTTCAGAAAGGCTTCCCAGCAAGTCACGCATGGATTTATTCGGGGCTTGTACATTTCTCTGTCGTATTCAAAATTCCGCTCCCAACCTATCCTCATATCTATAGGGGATTTAGCCTATTATTCATGTGCAACAACACCGTGTTTAGCAGCAGCCTTTCAGAGCATGATGTGGGTTGTGCCAAGTGACTAACAGCATCTCGATTAAACTCGTGAGGATAAATAGGCAAGCAGTTATTTTATGGCTCCTGTGTGTCTGCCATTGGGCCTATGGCAATAGCTATTATCAATTGCCCAGCCTATGATGGATGTGGAGCCACGAGTCGATAGAATAGGGTCACATGTCTACCTAAACCCAACGACAGGGGAGTTCCGAGTCCACAAAGACTGCTAGAGAATTGGTTCGTTTCCCAACAAAGAATTGTCATACAGCGTGGGGAAGAAGAAGCCCAGGGGAGCGGCTATCTTTGTGTATTCAGCAGCGTAGTTCCCTTCCTTCATAGGTCTGGTATGATGCAGATGCGCCATTATTTGGTGGTCACAACTAGAATCCAGAGAATGGGCAATGGAGCCATAAGTTTGTTGCTTCATCCAAACAGCCCTGCAGTTCATAAACTCTCTAGATTCCCTATTACCGGGGTCTTTTTTCCCAGTCCCCCATTTGATTGTTTGTAAACGAACCGCCATTGATGAAGATGGTTAGCTAGCCGCCAAGCAGTGTATATATAGACAGATAGTTGGCCAACCTAAAACATACGGGGAGAGGATAAGCAGCATTGCAAGACAAGAATACTATCCACAGTCGAGGAAATACTATTAACATGCATTTCAAGCGAGCCATCCTGGGTGTGGCCACCTCCGTGGCCCTTGCCAGCGCAGCAAAGCACCAGCTGTTCGTGGGTAGCTTCAGTACCAAGTTTCTCTACACGCTGGAGTATGATGATTCCCTCCAGACGCTTGGGCTGGCTGAAACTATTCCCGTGAATTCAGCCAGCTCCTGGATTGCTTTGAGCTACGACAAGAAGAACCTGTATGCCACAGACTGGGAGGCGGTCGTACCCTCGTTCGTTAGCTACAGCGTCGATGACGCTCGCACGATCACGTACGAGAGAAGGATCTCTGGGGACATGAGCTGTTCGGACAGCAAGAGCATCTTCATCACGGCTAACCCCAACACGCCCTACACGGTCTACGGCAACTTCTTCTACGGGAACGCGAAGTGCGGCTCCGTGATGTCGGTTAGTGCCAACGGATCGCTTAGTAGCGTAATTCAGGGCTTCAACTATGCCGACGGATCGGCCGTCCACGGGACCGCAATCAGCCCCAACTCGCAATACCTCTACTCGGCGGACCACGGTACCAACTCGATCTGGGTCCACAGGATGGACGATATCGACGGCACGCTCAAGTACCTGTCGCAGTCTGTCATGCCGACCGAAAATGCCAAACCCCGCCACGTGGTTGCTCACCCCGAGGGAAAATATATCTACGCCGTTATGGAGGGGACGAGCGAGGTGGTTCAGTTCTCGACCAGCCATCTCAACAATTTGACTGCTCTCCAGGACAAATTCTCCCTGATCAAGGAAGGCGAGGACCCGTCCGACTTCTGGGCCGACGAGATCGCGCTCTCGGCTAACAACCTGTACCTGTGGGCTAGCAACCGCGCGCACGACTCTGGCCGCAAGGGATACATTTCGGCCTTCCAGGTCGGCGAGGACGGTCACATCACGCAGCAGTACTTTCTCACAGAGACGACCTCGAGCGGCGGCTTTGCCAACGCCGTGGCCCCTAGCCTATTCGACGACAGGGTCGTCGCCATCACCGACAACACGACCGGCTTCGTCGAGGTGTGGAAAATGAATGGGGAAAACACCCAGGCCGTTCCGGTCGCGCACTTGGATATCAAAGACGGGGGCGGCTGCTGCGCCAACGCTGTCTGGTACTCGTAATCTAGACGCAGGCACGCCTGACCAAGTTGCCGCCGAATTGCGAGTTGCCAGAAGGGCTCCCGGGGATTGATTTCAGGATACTAAATGTGTCTGATCGTAGATAGTGATAATAGTAGGTAACATTCTATACCGACATATTGGATAGCTCCGTCTCCTGTATTCTCGTGTATTCAGCAGTTTAGGATGATCAATTGTAAGTTAATGGTATGTAGCTTAGACCACGGTAGATGAAGGGGACGGGCCAAAATTCATACCCCTCCTTGATTTCGCGTAGGTAACTAGAAAACGCCGAATTTCCAAATAGAGACGTGCGAGAATAAAGAATAATACCACAGAGACTAAGCAAGGCAAGATTCTCATAAAAGTCACTGTTAATAGAGAACCCGAATATTGTCGCTATGAATTAAGGAAGCAGTTCAGTCAATCCTCCAACCCCAACCAGCGGCGCGACGAGGTGCGTGAGGGTGAGGGCAGAAATGAGCGTAACAGCAGACAAACCTGCTGCTCGCTATATTGTTGGGTTTTCCCGCAATATTATTGAATTTGATGAATCTCTCTCTCCTTACGTCTCACTTCTCCGGTACCGGTTACCGATACTATCAGAGTCTGGCAACTCTCCACTCTTCACCCGAGCGCCCCGGAGCCAATCATATACCTACGTAATAGCATCGCATGCGCGCAATTGACCGTTATAATGGGCCGTTGACATGAGAAATGCACTGAGATTTCGGCCTCCGACGAGTCGATGGACGGCGGTCAAGAAGCTAATAGTAGAGCCGGCAGATCGCGTATCTAGGACTATCCTCGCCGCTACGCGCTTGAGAGCTTCAAAGCGCTTGATCATTGGCTCCAATGACTTTAGGTGGCCCCCTGAAGGCTTCTTCAGGTCGAGGCGAAAAAGAGAGATATGTCAACGTAAATCTCGCATCCGTCGTTACTATGCCGACTTGTGTCTCAATAATACCCTCGAGGCGCTTCACCGCGGGGTTGAGCAGTGGTTTCCAAACCCAGTTGTGTTGATGATCTTGTCCGGGGGTGGACAGGGGTGTGCACCGGCGTAATATCGAGCGCGAGATTGTTCGGGTGCCCAAGGGAGTGGAACCTAGCCAGCCCCCGTTATCGAAGCCGGACATTCCCAACCACCAGTGCGGCTAAGAAGGCATGTAAAGTGCATGCGAAGCGGTGGTTTTCCGCATTAGACGACAGCGTGAAGATCGTGATACTAGCAAAATTGGGCTACAGCCTGCAAACTATTGCCTGCGAAAAGCGGGTGGACCAGTCGCCTGTAGTTTTGCTAGGGATGGTATTCCGAGATGGGCTCACGACTTGGATCCCGTCCTTAACGGCGAGGCGACCCCCGCGCAGAATTCAATAATCCAATACCGCCGATTGCCAGCATGAGGGTCCAGGAACTGCTGTCAGGTAATGCAAGGAGAAAAAAAAAAGAAAAACACACATGTTACCCGTCCTGAACAGGCAAATGCTATGGAGACGTTTTCGTGGGTAGCCGAAATGGAGAATGAGGTCCACCGATTTAGGCACCAGTACAGGTATCCTGTGATAATATCTGTTAGTATCAGGACTGAATGGCATCGGGGCTGCCTGAACCCATAATGTCGGAGGATCTAATTATAGGGAAGAGTGTACCGAAATATCCCGCATGAAGTATCAAGACTGTCACGTCGTAGGGCTACCAGGGGTGCCAAAGACGTACCTAGGGACCAAGCTTACTGATCTGCCCAATTCCCCAGATATCAGGGGTGTGATCCGACCCGCGATCTACGACGGGCGACACCGCATACTCAACATTCAACCGGTAGGCCCGTTATTAATCCCAATCGACGAAAACGGTTGCCTATCGACTTCGCCTTAACCCGCGCCACCCAGAGTTGCGAAATCCAGTTCGAGAACGTCCTCGGTGGTTAGACTTATGGAGTTGGAAATCGCAAATCGTATTCTATTTGAATGGTACGATTGGCGATCAAAACTAATAGCGATCGGCGCTCGAGCAGCCAGCTGGGGAAACATGCACCGATAGTCGATCGCAAGTCTTGGCATAGCTGTCATCCTTGTGTTCATCTCTTTGCAATCGGCTGATGTCCCTTGTGCTCCAAGCGGTATCAGAAGCGATCAATTCGGGATGTTGATGTTGGTTTCAACGAGCCACGAACAACGGGGGATCCGATTGAGGTTTCTATTCACACCATCTCCCTTAAATCCTCCGGACAAGACGCGAACATGCGCCTCAATCCTATTACGACTTGCCTTGCCTATCTTCGACCTTAACACGTGCCGGTGTTCTGATCTTCCAGAGGAAAGACGCGGCATTGGTTTCCGGGGTCCTGCACTTCATCATATCATTCTCCCCGCACCAGATCGAGTGCCGAGGGTTTTCGAAGATTTCTTCCATAGTTGAGCAATTACTCGCGCACTCACGACGCCCTCTTATAGCATCGCCGCAGTTGCAGTATCATAACTCGCAAGACGTCACGGATAGCCGTACGTATACAAGACCAGCGTCCGTCCGGTGTAGGGAGATATACCGAAAACGTGCTTGTTCAGACCTTCTAGTGATTCCGTCTCAATCTAGACATTACAAGAAGACCCCTGTACATCGAGGCTCACCCCAGCTCGCAAGCCCAGTTAGTTGTCCTGAATAGGCAGGTTGCGCCGTCAAGCCCTCGAATTTCAGGATGCAGGGGTTTCAGCAGCTACTCGAATCGACGTTGCCGTTCGACAAACGTGTCCGCCGCAGGCTGAGAGCGAGCCGAGAATGGGCATGTAATAGAGCCTCTCGAGAGGAGCTTAAATACCATTCTTCTTCTCTCACGGGCTCAAGGGAAATGTCGGCGTCCAGGAGTCCAGGCCGCTAAAGACCCCCGCTTACACTTCATACTAAAGCATAGAGCGACCCTCTTGAACAGTTGCGGCTTAACATCAAGTTCACGATAGTTTCGAGGGGTTTATTCGCTTAAACACCCCGCTGGTTACAAGCAATGGCAGTCTCACTCCATCGGAGCGCCATCGGAGCGCTGTTCCTGTTGGCCGGCCTCTCCAACGCCAACCCTACTCTCCCCAAGATATTCTCCCGGGACCCTCCCCAGATGCTTCCCGCAAGAGCCACCGCCAACGACCTCAAGTGGCAACCAGCGATGGACTTCGATAAGGACTCTTGTTACAACACCCCGGCTATCGATGCGGAGGGGAACATCGCACCGGGCCTGAGCACGGACAGGGCCGCTGGAGGCGAGGGCTGCCGAGACTACAGCGACCTCGTTAATAACAATGTGTACTCGCGTCAGCGCTGCAACAATGGCTGGTGCGCCTACCTGTACGACTACTACATGGAGAAGGACACGAAGTGCGAAAGGTGTCTTATCGGTTACGGACACCGGCATGAGTGGGAACACGTTGTCGTATGGGTCAAGGACGACAAGGTCCAGTACGTTGCTGCCTCGCGGCACGGCGGCTATACGGTGAAGAAGGTTGGCGACGCCGCCGTCCAGTTTGAGGGGACCCACGTCAAGATTGTGTACCACAAGGACGGCGGCAGCACGCATGCCTTCAGGTTCCCCAAGACCGACGGCGGAGACGAGCCGCCGGAGAATCACCTCGGCAAGTGGTACATCTCGCCGGGACTCGTCTCGTACAACGGCTTCCCGAGCACTAGCCTACGAGACAAACTAACGAGCCATGACTTTAAAAAGGCCACGATCGCTTTCAAGGATTCCCAGTTCGCCGATAATCTCAAGAAAGCGGCTCCTAGCGGCATCACCTTCGACTACGGGCGCGACGAGAATTCCCCTGGCACCCCGTAAAACTCGGAGGTGACAACGTAAAGAATTTTCCAAATTGTATATATTACTATTCCCTAGCTTGTACATAAAAGCACACTGACATAGACTATACTTATATGTATATATTCCCGTAAAACATTGAATTTGGTACTGAGGTTTATCGCTCTATTATTAAAGAGGGGAGAGGAACTGCAGGTTATATGCTCCTTGTCACGTAGCAATTAAACCAGCCCTTATACGCCTACATACCGCGTAAATGTAGGCGTCTACGTTTTACGCGACACTCCTCAAGTCGGGTAAATTCTTCATAGGTGGACAAAATGTAGAACTTTTGCTCCGAACTTAGACAGGCGGCTAATTCAAGACTGGATAGTTACGAGGGACCCAGTGCCATGGACCAATTGGCCCATGACCTAACACGCATTCAAACCCGAAGAAATGTCTCGGATCTAGATGGAAATTTTACCCTAATTCGATCCACCATGTAACGGTAGGCGGCCAAGATCGCCTCCCCACATCCTACCATATGCCTATTGGTATAAACTTCCCCAGAAAACACGTTCGGTTTAAGAATGGCCGAAGTGACAACCTCGGAAGATGTCCATTTTCAAACCACGGACCTAGTGCTGGATATATGGCGGGAAATATGGGAGGATGGTGCAAACGTAGGCGTACTTAAAGAGCGTTAACACTGCCCTGACATGATCCAGCTCCATCCTGTAGGTTGTTCCGCAGCTGTCGCGTATTCTTTCAGTTGACTTTTCCCTCGGCAGAATGATCCTGTCGAAACTAGCAGCTCTTGCTGCTATCCTGAGTCGGGCATCGGCCTTCCTAAATGCCACGGAGACTAGCACTCAGTACATCTTGCAGAATGACGACCTGCATGTGACTGTGAGCAAGAGTAACGGACAGGTTGTCGAGCTTCTCCTCGGAAAGGAAAATCTGCTGGGCCCGACGAGTGGGAGCTCGGGTAAAGGACCGTATCTGGACTGTTCCTGCATCCCGAGCGGTTTCTGGACTCCCGGTGGTACTGCGCGATTCAAGCTCATCCGCGACGTCGATTCGACCGGCACACCATTTGGCGGTGTGGTGATGAGCGATACGTATGCCGCCACCAACCAGACATTGGAGCAGTACTGGTTCTTGCGCGATGGAGAAACCGGCCTGCACTTGTTCTCTCGAGTCACGTATTTCAACGAGGGCACGCCCTTCCTCCGGGGCCTAGGCGAGCTGCGTACGCTATTCCGGCCGAACACGCCGTTATGGACGCACTTATCCAGCAGCGAGGGCAACTGGGCTCCGATCCCCTCAGCCGATGCCTACCGCACTGGCATTACAGTTCAAGACGCAACGACATATCTTGGAAACGCGACGAACGACGCCTACGTGAAACAATACTCGGACTACTTTACAAAGTACACCTTCTCGGAGGTGTGGCGCGACCACGATGTTCACGGGCAGTATTCGGACGGTTCTACGAGCTCTGACGGGAATACCTACGGCGCCTGGCTAGTGCACAATACGCGGGAAACATACTATGGCGGGCCACTGCACTCAGACCTTGTAGTGGACGGTATTGTGGTGAGTACTCTTCCCCTTTACTAAGCTATAAGACGACGAGAAAAGGCTCATGTCAGTAATCCTTCATAGTACAACTACTTAGTATCAGGCCACCACGGCGCCCCTACCCCTAACCTCACCCACGGCTTCGACCGGACCTGGGGCCCGCAGTACTACCACTTCAACAAGGGCGGACCTGACACTACGCTCGCCGAGCTCAGGGCCGACGCGGCTCAGTACGCAAAGCCGGAATGGAATAGCCAGTTCTACGACAGCATCGCCAAATACGTGCCTAATTATGTGCCTTCTTCGCAGCGCACAACCTTCAAGGCAACCATCGAACTGCCCCGAGATGCGAAGAAGCCGATCGCTGTGCTTGCCGAGAACAGACAGGATTTCCAGCTGAACGTGTTTGACAAGTCAAGTCTTCAGTACTGGGCCGATATCGACCCCGCGACCGGCGTCGTGGAGATCCCTAGGGTGAAGGAGGGGACATACAGGCTGACAGTATACGCTGAAGGAATTTTCGGCTGGTTTATCCAGGACGATGTCAAGGTGTCTAGGGCAGCTGGCGAGACGTCGCTCCGGTTCCAGTGGAAGCCCGACAGCGCCGGGGAGGAGATCTGGCGAATCGGCACGCCCGATAAGTCAGCGGGGGAATACAAGCACGGCTACGCGCTAGATGTGTCGAGGCCTCTTCAGCCCGAGCAGTACCGCATCTACTGGGGCGTCTACGACTTCCCGAGCGAGTTCCCGGACGGCGTGGTGTTCAAGGTGGGCGAGAGCAAGGAGGCCGAGGACTTCAACTACGTGCACTGGTCCTTCTTCCCGGGCCGGTCGAACTTCCTCCGGCCGCAGCCCTACTACGAAAACGTCAACAACTGGACCATTCAGTTCAACCTCAGCGACGACCAGCTCGCTGGCGCGAAGACGGCCACCTTCACCGTCGAGCTCGCCGGCGTCAAGACCGCGAACGGCAACAACAAGTGGGCGTCGCTCCCCGGGGAGAAGTATTCTAACGTGCCCTACACCGTGGCCGTCAACGGGGCCGACGTCGAGACGTGGATCATACCGTCCTACCGCAGCGGATCGTGTGGCGTGCGGAGCAGCGTGGTGTGCCAGAACTTTGGCAAGAAGTTCACATTCCCGGCCGAGAAGTTGAAGGAAGGTCAGAATGAGTTCGTTCTGAGCTTACCGTTTAACGCGACTAGTACGGAGACAGCGTTGCTGCCAGAGACGATATACGTGCAGTACGACGCGCTGAGGCTCGAGCTTAGCTAGGAGAGAGAGAATAGCTAACTCTTAGAATGCTAGCAAGAGCATCGTTACTAGACCATTATTAGCCGCCTTTCTTTCCTCAGTTTTCTTCGGCGACTTGACCATGTCAAGGGTGACGTGAAGGTATAATACGATATTAGTCGACTGTGCCGACATTATGACAAGGGAATGTACTTGGAATAGATTCAATTCAACTAATAATTCTATAAGGGGTCTCTTAGGTCCTTATCCCTTTTTAGGTTTCCCGGTCCCCCTCTCGTCCTAATATATTCTAGGAGTACCTCCGTATCCTAGTATCTAGGTACCTTAATACCGAAGCTATCCGTAGCTTATCTAGGACTTTTCTTAATAGGTCGCCGAAATAACGGCCCTACTACCCGATATTATCCTCTTAACCCGTATAACCTAATTATTAATATAGGATTCTATTCCCGTATAATACTATCTCCTTTCTTCGGAAAAGCTCGTCTCTAAGCGTAGATTAAGTACCTAAGCTCGATAGTTAATAGGTTTATTAAGGTTTTATTAATAAAATAACTTAACGGTTTCTTTTATCCTTTCGGTAGTAAAATACTTCCATAGTTTTTAAGTCTAATAGCGCTTAACTAGCTAGCTTTCTTACTTTACTAAGTACCTAATAACTTCTCCGGTCCTAACGGAATCTAATACCTTATCTACCTCGTAATCTTCTGCCTCGATCGGGGCTACCTTTCGTAAAACCTAGTTAAGGTTAGGTAATTCCTAATTATTAACGCGGTAAGGTTCGATAAGAAATACGTAGAAGGTATTATAAATACGTTAGCCTTTCGGGAGCGTTAAGGTTACGGTAATAAGCGAAACGACCTTTTAGATCTTAAAGGAGCCGAGCATTTTCTTATCTATCTTTTTAATAAGGCGTTTAGTTTTAATGTTACGGGTATTTAATATAATAAACTACCCTACTTTTAAGGGAGGTTCCTCCTTTTTATACTTATTTATCTATCCTTTTATTCGTTACCGTACTTTTTCTAAGTATTACTTAGCCTCGTTATATACCTTAATTATTTAATAAGCGTAAAGGTTACTTCCTAAATTCTTAGGTATACCTAATAAGAAATTATATGCTACTAAATACTACCCGTAATTAACGTAAAAGGGTAATATACCGATAGCTATCGAAGTAGTATTATTATAAGTAAATTCGGTAGTAGGGAGTAAGCTTTCCTAGTCGCTTATCTCGTAATTTACGAAGGCGCGTAGGTATACTTCTAGGATTTAGTTAAGTTTTTCCGTTTATCCATCCGTTTAAGAGTAAAAGGCAGTACTTATTCTAGGCTTAATTCCGAGAAGCTTTAAAATATCCTTTTAAATATAAGAGATAAATCGTAAGTCCCGGTCGGAAATAATATCTAAAGAAATCCTATATAACCGCTAGTAGTTACGGATAAAGATAGGTATTAGGTCTTCGGCTTTTTTACCGTCCTTTTTTAGTAGGATAAAGTACGTTATTTTAATAAAGGGATTTATAATAACCTATATAAAGTTATAACCGTTAAATATCGGTAAGTTTATAATAAAGTCTATCGCGATAGTTTATTATAATCGGTAATATAGTTCCATAAGCTATAGTAATCCGAACGGGATATACCGGAATACCTTATTTTATTAATATTCGCGATATCCTCTTACGAATTCCCTAATTATTACTTCTAGGTTAAGCTACTAGAAGTTTCGGATAATAAGCTCTATGGTTTTATCCATACCTATATATCCCGCTACCTTGGTATCGTATTCGGATCTAATTACTTCTTATTATAAGTCCTTAGGTATCTATAAACGATTTCGTCGATAGAAGAAGCCCTTATAAAGCTTTATCTCTTTACCGGATTATTTAATTAATTAAGCCTAGTATTCCGGGTCTTATTCGGCCGTATTCTTAACTTATTTTACGAACTTTTAGATCCAAGGGGATATCGGGATATTACTTAGTCGTACGCTAGAGAATATAATAATTAATAAGCCTAAAATTTTTAAAAAATGCTTTTCCTATAGGACCGTCGCTATCGGTTAGTCCTTAGCTCCTCCTTTTTTAAGGCGATATTATAGTAATCTAAATAAGATATCGGCCTTTTCGTTTTACTTCCTTAGGCGATAGTATATTATAAAATAATACGAAGAGAATTATTAAGCCTAACAGGCTTATCGTCGATTTAGTACTTTTACCGTAGTAAAATACGTTAGGTTCTAATAATCTAAGTATACTTTTATTTAATGCTAAGCTCCTTCGAAATAATATCGCTACTTCTCGAATACGTCGACGATTATTAATAATTCCTTATTATATATTTTATAATTCATTTCCGCTAGGGTAAGTCGTCTTAAGAAAAAGGCTACTAATCTTAGTCTTCCTTTATCGTTCTTTTACAAAAGGATAGCCGAAATAATAAAGTCCGAAGCGTCGGCTTTAACGATTAAGATTCGATTAGGATCGAAATATATAAGTATCGGGGCCTTCGTAAAGGTTTCTTTTAATTCCTAAAAGGCCTTTTTCATTTCGATTTCTTATTTCTATAGCTTACGGTCTCCTTTATTAGCGTTAGTAATTAATCTAGCTATGCCCGAGAAGTTACGTATGAATTTACGGTAAAAGTTAATAAACCTAATAAAGCTTTACGAGTCCTTAAGTATAGTTAGGGTACGTTAATTAAGGATAGCTTTTATTTTATCCTTAGATATAGTAATACCCTTAAGGCTTATATTATATCCTAAGAACTTAACTTCTTACATTCGCTAGGTATATTTCTTTAGGGCTACTATTAAATGGTTTTCCATAAGCCGTTTTAGGACTTCCTTTATTAGTTTATTATGTTCCTTTAACGTATCGGTATAGACTAGGACGTCGTTTAGGTAGGCGATAACCCCTATATCTAAGAGGTCGCGAAAGATATAATTTATTATAGCTTAAAAGGTAGCGGAGGCGTTAATTAATCCCATAAGTATAACGGTATACTAAGGAGGAGCAGAGCGTATGCGATGCTAGAGACCCGGATATATTTACTCGAAAGTGTACTTTATCGAAGACTATAGTATATACGATGGTCTAAGGTAGATAAAACTAGTGTTATTATATTAATCGAGAGGCAAGGAATTTAATGTAGTTATCGTATCTTAACTATGCCCCTTGGTCGTAGAGATATGGTAGTCGTTAGCCCGAAGGCATAAGAGGTAAAGGAAGAAAAGGGGTAAAACGTAAAAGTTACTTATTCGGTTATAGCGGTACGACGAAGTAACTTAAGCGCCTATAATTAAGATAGATATATTAATCGAAAAACGACGAATTTAATAGTAAAAACGAATCTTTAATTAAGGTAAAAATAATAAAGATAGTAATCTAGCTAGGTAATAAATTAAATGATAAGTATAGTATATCCCGTACTTACGGGAGCTATAGTTATTTTATATAAGTATAAGGCTTATCGTAACGTATTACGTAATATATTAAGAAGGTATGTTTTACCGTATTACTATAGCCTCCTTAATTTAATTATACCGTAAGGGATAATTAAATTAAAAAGGATAGTACGGTAAGTCCCGATTAATATCTTCCCTTAAAAACTACCGCGAAACTTTATTCCTCCGGCTATTATTTAATTATTACGACCGCGCTTTTAACTTTTCGTTTAATATTATAAGGGGGTCTTTTTATTATTTTACGGCTAACTTAATCCGGTTTACCTTCGCCGATCTAACCCGATCGGCGTTCTCCTTCTTTATTTCGGCTACCTTTTTTTTAGTTTCGTTTTAGCTTTCTTAGTTAGGGGAATGGTAGGGGAACAGACGCGTTTTAAGGGTTAACTAGGTATTTTTCTTCTACTTATACGGTATGGAGGTTTCTCCCGATTAGAAAGCCCTGATTCTTTCTGGTCCGGGGGAAGGGAAGAGGCGCGTTATAACCTTAACGAGGTTATTATAACGGAGGTTTACGTCCGCCGATACGAGGGAATAAGGGGGATTAGGTATTAAGGCTATAGAGGAACGACGGACTTCGGCTTATGCGATAAACCGAACGGAGGATTTACGGCTAAGGGGTTCGTCGATCGGCGTATTTTAAGCGGATATTATAGCGTTAATAAGGTTAATTCGCCTTTAGTAATTTACGGTTTACCGAAAACGCTTAACGATATTTATCTTTTCTTTTAAAACTCGAACGTTATAAAATTACTTTATTACTTCGGCGTATTCTTTTATAATATTAAGGGGATCGAGTCTCTTATTTTCTTAGGCTTAGCGCGCGACTTCGATCGGTCGTTTAAAGATAAGATACGGTAGAATGTCGCTTTAAAAACCGTAATTAAAGCTATCTTATTAATTTATTAACGCGACGTAGTAAGTAGACTAAGGGGTTATGTTAGGCTCGAGATTGCCGCCTTCCTATGCTCGCCGTAGCTAACCGAACGCGTATACCGTTCGATCGAGGACGCCGTCCTTAATTATATTAAAGTTAAATAGTTTTCGGGGCTTAGGGAGATATAATACTACGGCGAAGTAGGCTTAGGAGAACTTTAAGGGGTCGGTAATGATTCGTTCGAGGTTTATTAGATCCGTATAAATCGTAAAGACTAAAGTAAAGGTAGGGTTATTAAAGAGGTATTAGCGGGTTAAGAAGTTAAACGATTTTATCGATCGGTAGCTTATCGTTTAGTACGGGTTTATTTCGAAGGCCGCCTTTTTACCTTCGAGGTCGTGGTTAGTTATAATATAGAAGGCGCGGATATCTTCGTTAGTAAGGTAATCGTAACGGGCGACGTAAACGAAAGAGTTAGCTAGGGTTACCTTTATTTATTTCTATAGTTACTAGTTTATAGTTCGGGATCGATTAACGGATAGCCGGAAGGCCTAAGTTATATCGGATCTTAATTCGATCGGACCCTTCCCCGAATCGTAATTATTTAAAGTACTAAGTTAGTATTTCTTTATATTACTCTAGTTATTTTTATTATTATAAATCTCTTATAGGAGTTTTATTAAGTCGGTTAGATCGATACGACGTACGTTTCTATAGACGGAAGGAAGGAAGAAGAAGGAGGGGATTCCGGCGGAGCGGGGGAAAGATATAATAAAAATAAAAAAAGAATTAAAGGAAGGAGGAGAAAAGATAATAAATTAAAGGTACAAATAAGAATTTAAATTAATAATAAGAAAGGTAGGCTAAAGATTAATAAGAATATAATAATTATAAGGGAGGGGGTTTTCGAAATAAAATACCTAAAGAGGAAAAAGAG